TCAAAAAACAAATAATAAACTAGGTGTGGTGGGGCATGCCTGTAATCCCAGTCCTTGGGAGACTGAGGCAGGAGGATCAATGCAAATTTGAGATCAGCCTGGGCTACATAGCAAGCTCCTGAACTACATAGCAAGACCTTGTCTCAAAAAGACAAAAATAAATAAATAAATAATAGAACTACTGTATATGATCAACCAATCCCATTTTTGTATATATATCTGAAGTAAATGAAATCGGTATTTGAGGTAGCCGAATTCTTACATTCAATGCAGCATTATTACAATAGCCAAGATGTGGAAGCAATTTAAAGTGTCTGTTATCAGATGAGTGGATAAAGAAAATGCCACACACATACATACAACCTCCACACACAACACACACCACAATGGAACATCATTTAACTTTGTGTGGAACTGGGGATTGAAGCTAGGTCCTTCACACTGATCTATAGCCCCTACCCTTACTTATATTTTATTTTGAGAGAGTGTCTTGCTAAGTCACTAAGATGTCCATACTGGGCTTGAACTTGTGATCCTCCTTCCTAATCAGCCTTTTTAAAACCCTACCCTTATGACAACATGGATGAACCTGGGGGACATTATACTAATTGAACAAAACTAGACACAGAAAGGCAAGTCAAATTGCATAATCTTATTCATAGTGACAGAGTAGGATGGTGTTACCAGGATCTAGGGAGTGAAGAAAAGGAGAGAAATAAATAAAATGGTGTAAACTTTCAGTTATTATATGACTAAGTTCTAAAAACCTAATGTAGAACATGATAGCTATAATATGTAATAATGCACAATTGAACTTTGCCAAGACAGTAGACTGAAGACTTCTCATCACACACCAAAAAATTTTATCTAGCTTCCTATTTATTTTTGTGACAGAGTCTTGCTATATTGTCCAGACTGGCCTCAAATTCCCGGCCTCAAACAATCCTCTTTCCTCAGCCTCCCAAGTAGCTTGGATTACAGGTGCTATACAAGCCACTACACCTGGTAAATTTATTTTTAATGAAAATATAAAGTGATGACATCCTTTGAAATTTTGTTTTCTGATTTGATTACTTTTACAGTCTTATAAAGTTTTTTTTTTTTTTACTTCAGTTGCTATCCTCTGTGAGATGTGAGGTGTGTGACCTCCATTTTCCTCCATGACTATATCACCCAGTTCTGTGTGGGGTGCAGGTCTGAGACTGCCTTTTGCTCCTTGGTCTTCACATTCTCCTGGGTTCCTCCCAATAAGCTGGTTGTAGGATCCCAGGCACTTCCAGTGTTGGTTGCCCCTCTGTGGTGTAGGGGAGTGGGACAGGCACCTGAGTCTCTCTGACTCCAGGTTCCCAGGGAGGTAGCAGGGTATGTGGCGGGCTTCTCCAGACCCGTGCAGCTATACTGGGGCTTCCCCAATGGCCAGCAGTATGTGGTGGTGTGGGTGTTTCTTCTCTCAGCCTGCGTGTCTACACCGAGATTCTTGTGATTGTAGCAGACACACAATAGTGTGTTGTCTGATTCTCCTGGTGGGTGATGGCTGCCTGCAAGAAGCAAGGGTCTCCAATGGAAGGCTGTGGGCACATGGGGCTTACCTGGGTGCATGTCCCTGCTCATGCTGGGTGCCCACGGGAGGCAAATCTTCTAATGGCAGTAGTCGGCAGGCAGAGGCAGATCTAGCTGTTCTCTCTGCTTGTCCTGGTTGCCAACGGGAAGCAAGCCTTCTGATCCACATACTTATCATTTTTACTACTTTCAGTTTTGCAGGTCTTTCTTAAGGGTCTTTATCAGGTGAAATAAGCATCATCTAACAAAAGGCAGGCTTGTAAAAACATTACAGTGTGTTCTCATCCACCTTATTCACCTGATCTAGCACTGTGTGGCTTCTGGCTCTTTCTCTACATGAAAATGTGAGCATTTTGCATCATTTCAGGCAGCCACAACAGTGCAACTAAGGATATTCAAGAAAGAGAACTTCCAGAAACAGCACAAAAAATTAGACAAGTATGTTTGATGTGTGAGGGAATATCAAGAAGGATTAATGGCATTGTTTCTTTCACTGTAATAATTTTTTAAAAATTAAACATTCACCATAGTTTTTGATCACCCTTTGTCTTGATTACTTTTCTCTCATTGCTGGGACAAAATACCCAACACCCAAAATTAAGGAAGGAAAAGTTTATTTGGTTTACAGTTTTTGGAAGTTTCACTCCATAATCAGTTGGTTGCAAGGTAGGGTGGTATGGCACTGGGGCAATACTTCAAGGCAGCAGCCGGAACAAAAGGAGAGCAAGTCTCTTTTCCTCTTTTATGTTTTACACAGGCCATGTCCCACTCCTCCCATAGGTGTAGCTATCATTAAATTTCTGTGCCCTCCTCTTGCATAAGCCAAGGATATTTACGAAGTAAAGATCTTTATTCCCTGCTCAGTCTATCAGTTAAACTTCTAAATTTCTCAAGTTGACACAGTGTATCAACCATAACACCCTTAATACTTTAAGTACTATCCATTTTAAACAGCTTGGTAAATAGAAAAAGGCAGATACCTGTGAATTCAAATCCTTCCAGGGTCTTCCAGGCAATGCCCAACTATATCCTGAATTGACACCCAGTAATCTCTTCTGCTCTTTTCACAGTCTTCACAATATTTCCAGCCATAAATCCCTTCTGCAATTTTTGATAATGAAACAGAAAAGTAGACTCCTAGTGGACGCACTGTGGGTACTAAGTGTAAACACAGGTATGTAGTATTGGGTTTGATGTATTTGTTCACTATGGGCTGGGATCAAAAAAGTTTGAAAGCCTTTAGTGTGGCACATTATGAGGTTCAACAGCAAAAGCCACTAGGTGCTCTGAATTCTCCCTTTCCTCAAAGTAGGTATATTTTCTTTTTCTTTTTTTTTAAATTTTATTTAAGGAAAAAAAGAAGAAAAAAAGCCAGAAAAAGGGTACAAGTTATACAGAATTTCAGAAAAAATAAACAGTAGGAAATAACTAGTTAATAGATTCATATTGTCAGCTTAGAAATAGCTGTTCAAGTTATAAAATTAAAGCATATAAAGTGGACATTCAAACAGTGAGACTGCAAACAGTTCTGTTCAATGATCCAACAAAACTCAGTAATATGGTTATCTGTCTTATACACTTAAATATACATGCAGTTATGTCCTTTAGAGCACTTTCTTTTCCTCTCTTTTGTACAATGACAATTACACATTTTGGGTTTTATTACTCCCACAGTTCTTATTACTTATTTTTGAAGAGAGTAGAACCAAATGTGACATAACAGAACAGAGTCAGTCAAATCAAAAGGATGGACATAATACATAATGTAAAAACAAAATACAAGGTGATCAACAATGGTTACCATAATGCCTCTTGCTATCTTAAAAAGAATTGTCTATATCATCAGTTATAATAAAATTGAACAAAACAGTAAAGAACAAAACCAATAAAACCAAAACATTGGACATTACAGGTCTTCAAAAGAAGATAATAGTCAACCAGAATGGGCATCATAATGAATCTTACTGTCTTCACAGTTGTTGCCTATACTTTCGAACTCGGTACTATCAAGCAGAACAGAATAAAGGAAAATCAGTCAAAACAAGATGGTGAGAGTAATACAGGGTTTCAAATCAAGTTAATAGGAAATCAAAGTGGGTTACTATAATATATCCTGCTATTTTTTATTTATTTTTCCCTTAATTAAAAGGATAAAAATAGGGGCTGGGGATTTAGCTCAGCGGCATAAGCATCTGCCTTGCGATCAGGCGGTCATGAGTTTGATCACCGGTACCAATAAAAAGAAAAAAGAAAAAAAAAGGATAAAAATAAAAAAGTAAATAATAAAAAAAGAAGATTGAGATAAAAGAGGACATAACAACAAAACAGCGCAGGTCAAAACATAACCATTTAAGCAAAATAGTGTTTCACCACAAGATAATCCCCAAGTAGGTATATTTTCAATGCAGAGTTCCTTCAAGCAGATATATAGAAAATTATCTGAGAGTGTTTTTTTGGCTTTTATTAAGGGAAAGATAGCTTCTGTCTAAGAAAGACAGAATAGGTCCCAGAAAGTGGGTTGCACAGGACTCCACTTATCAGGGGGAACTTTATGGAGTAAAGTCACGAGGGAGGGATAAGGTGGGATATAAGTATGATCAACTAGTAGAATTACAAGTATAGTGGCTTAGGTAATACTGATCCAAAGGGAAATAATTCACATAGCAAGTGTGTGCAGAAAGACCAAGGACCTTCCCTGGAAGGTGTGGTTAGGGACTCTTCCTGGTCCTCCACCCAGGTGGTTGATGCCTATTTAGACTATCAATCATTAATTTATCAATTTATCCCTAGGGGAAGTATGCAGATGTAATCAAGTCCATCTTTCTTTGGAGGTCTGGCCTTTAACAGGAGCACCTCCATTCATAGTTGGTCTGTATCTTCTGCGCGGACCGCAAACTGCCTATATTTCTACCTAATTTAGTTGTCTATAATACCTCGTCCCCACAGCCCAGGCACCCCTAACTGACATAAAAGGAAAAGGGGCGATGACCTTTCTGGCTATTTCAGGATGAATGGGGTGGCTGAGAGGGGTTTTATTATTTTTACTTATTTATTATTTGTTTGTTTGTTTTGAGACACCGTCTCACTTTATAGCCTAGGCTGGCCTCGAATTTGTAGCGATCCATCAGCCTCTTGCCTCCCAAACGCTGGGATTACAGGCAGGGGCCGCAACGCTCGGTTGGAGAGCAGTTTTGAAGCAACACCCAACCCGCTTACGTCTATCTCCGTTCTGAAGCGGAGATCCCGCCCTCCGCAGCAGGTCAGGTCAGCGTTCACTCCACCCCAGAAGGACTCCAAATTTCCGGCCAACGGCCCGGCCTGAGTGTTGCGCACGCGCAGACAAAGGCTGGAGCTGCGCCTTCCTGGGCGGGATTTGGCTTCCAACCCTAGGCGCGCGCTGTCCAATCACCTTGCCGGTTCCCTGCCCCCTGGGCGCCGCGCAGGTCAGGCCTGCGCGCGCAAGATCCGCGCAGGCGCTGGCTTGAAGGGGAAGCGGCGGTTGAGAAGGTATTGCGTCCGATTACGTGTGTGACAGGTTTGGTAGCTTCCCCTTCTGATCTGTGGGACTTTTAGAACCCAGAGGAAGAGAGCGTAAGAACTTTGGTACCGGTTTCTCCTCGCCATTCCTCTTGCAGTCTCTACAGTACCCTTGACAGCCGAAGTGTTTCCTTTGTATCCCGAGCTACCTCTGGTTTGGACCGGGGCTACCTCTGCTATTCGCATTCCACTGGGGAAACGAGGCAGTGTCCCCGGCTTCTCTGCGCGCCACTCATTTGTCCGAGGTCCCTTCCTTTCCTTTTCCGATCCACCTTTAGCATCACAGCAGTTTCTGGATAGCGTTTTAGGTCCAGCCCTAACCAAGCACAAAGAACTTAACCGTTTTTCTGACATTGGCTCTGGACCTTTCTGATACCCTTTGCTGAAAGAGCTTCCACAAGGGCTCACAGTGGATTCAAGGCCACCAAATACAGGTTTTCTTGACTCGGTTAATCTGCGTTTGTAGTTTGCAATTCTTAAGGCATGTCCTTTGCATCCCTAGGTAATGGGCAGAGTTGTGCTGTTCCCATTTTGAAAATGTGGTCAGCCCACAGGCTGCCTTTTGGAATGAGAGACCAAACTGACTGAGATGGCATCAGCAGCTACTTAGAAGCAAAGTAACGTTAGACTTTCTGCTGTCTGCCACCAGATTATATATTTACAGAACTCTTTGTTGTTGTGGGAGGACAGCATTTTAGCTCAGTGCCTTTATGATGACTTGAAGTAGAGGAAAGGAGGTACCTAGATGTTAACCACAGAGGTCCAGTCAGCCGGCAGGGGAAATGTAAAGCAGAAAAAACCTGACAGACATGTCAGGATATCAACAGGTTGAATTTCTGTTTAGTAACAAATACACTCTCTGCATTTATATGCTAGTTAAGTATAAAATATTGACATTATGTATTAGCAGTGACTTCAGAATGTGTCAAATTTCCCAGGTTAAATCCTTGATAGTCATCATAATCTGTTTTGTTACTTTGACTTTCAGTGAAAGCTATATACTTAATATTTTTTCAAATGTCTGCCTACACTACATTTTTTTCTAATGTCAGTCTTAATACCAGTTCACCTTGTTGATGCCTAAATTACAAAACATTAATCACTTAGCTTTCCCCTGTGCATTATCTCCATATATCCTATATTCTAGGTTCTAATGTTTCTTTTTTATTCAAAAAGTAATTTGGATTTATACCTTTGATTATCACTGTGAAGCTGTTAGGCTGTTTAGCTGGACTTTGTTACTTCCTAGCTCACACCTCTGAAGAACAGTTCTGAAATACAACTATTTTTCTTGCTAATCCTATTAAAACCCCAAATTTATTTGTTTCTTCTTTTTTTTCCTCCTAAACTCCAAATTTCTATGCTTGGGCTTCAAAATTCTTTCTCTGTAACATGACCTAATAATTCCTGTGTAATGTGATATGGTGGATAAAGCCTTGGATTCTGATACTGAAACTGTCATATTACCTTGGTATCTTTAGGGAAACTTTGAGTTTCAGTTTCCTTCTGCCATGTCTTGGATAAGATTCTTCTTACCTCTTAATTATTGTAAGAATTATAATTGACATGGCAGGTGAAAAAGCTAACAGTTTAGAAAACCAACTTGGGCGATTATTATCTCTCATTGTACTCATTCATTTCACAAACATTTGAAAAGCTAATACATGTTAGTGACTGGTGCTATTCCTTTGACAGACAGTCCATGCTCATAAGAACCTGTATTTCAAGAAACTTGTATGTGTGTGTGCATATACACACTTGGATTAGAATAGCAGAGTGTCTGTTAAGGAAGAGTGCGATACAAGCTGCAATATAGTAACTTTAGAGTGATACCAAACCTACAGAAGAGAGACACAGGGAAAGATTAATGGAGAAAATTATATTTGAACAGTGTTGAATTACAGCAAAAATCCAAAAAGGCTTTGTATGCTGAGGGAAATACACAAATTAAAGGCTTTTCCTCCTCTTCTTTTTTTTTCTTTCTTTCATTTTGTTTTTTGTTTTTTTTCCCTTTGGTGATACTGGAATTGAACCTAGGGCCTTGGTACTGAGCAACAACCCCAACCCTTATCTTTTATTTTGCGATGGAGTCTTGCTAAGTCTGTAAGTTGCCCAGGCTGAGTTTGAACTTGCAGTCTTCCAGGCTGGGCTCGAATTTGCAGTCCTCCTTCCTCAGCACCCCCCCACCCCCAGAGTGTTGGAGTTACAGGCATGTAATTCCAACACACCTAGTTTGAACAATTTGAAGCAGATATTTGATTGTAGTTGACATAGTATGTAAAAAGCTAACAGTTAAAAAAACTGACATAGGTTATTTTTATTTCTCACTGTACTCATTCATTTCACAAACATTTGAAAAGGTAATATATGTTAGAAACTGGTGTTGTTGCTTTGCAAGACAATCTTTGCCCACAACAGATTGTATTTCAAGTAACTTTACTGATCACAATTGCTTTGAATTTTTTTTGTACCAGGTATCAAACTCAGGACTTTGAACTTGCCAGGCACTGAGCTATATCCTTGGCCCTTTTTTGTCTTTTTAAGACAGTGTTTCCCTATGCAATTCAGGCTAGGACTGAACTCACCTTGTATCCAGGCTGGCCTGGAATGGTGATCTCCCTGCCTGAGTCACCTGAGTGCTGGAATCACAGGCATGTGCCACCATACTCAGCCCACAGTTATTTCTGGAAGTTAATTCTAGCAGTGATGTCTACTTTCTTACTGTAGGCTACAAAATCTACTTTCTGCCTATGCACCTTACTTTCTTCACTTTCTTCTTTTTTTTCACTTGAAGACCCAGTATTTATTTGTTAATATCAAGCACGATGCACCATTGATCAGTAAATAGAGAGTGTCAAGCATGAAATATGTACATATTTGAAACAATATGCTGCAGGATACAAGCTGCACACATCTCACATGAGAGAAAACCCACTCTGCAAACTTCTACAGCTTTGCCATTTACAGGGACCAGCCAGAACCTCCCAATGCCCGGGGCCAACTGACAGCACCTTATTTGCTTTTATAGCAATAATACACCTGTGTACTGAGTTATGTACACAGAGACCACTGTAGTCTTTTTATTCCCTATGGACCAGACATTATAGAGGCAAACAGAAAACCAGAAGGAAGCATGTGATAATGTGCACTTGGTAAAAAGAACACCAAAGCACTATATGTTGCTAAGTATAAGACAGTCCAAAAAGACATGTAAAGGCTGTACCTTATTTTCTTTACCCAGAAGGGCTTATGTGTTCTCATACTTTAATACTATTGATCTGTTAGTGTTTAATTTGAGTTCTGTTTTTTAAGTAAAATATTGTCCAAATATTTTAGGCCCGACTACTTATTCATATCTCTGAAATTACTATAAATACTATCAATAATTGAGTCCTTATTTTTTTAATGTATATTTTATGCTCTTATGTGATTTGTAAGCATAGTGTATGTTTCCTATATGTGAGAATAGAAAACATATTACACAAAATATGTTCTTTGATGTATTTGTATTTTGTTTTTCAGGCTATGAGCAGATTATGGACAATAGAACTTTTAATTAATCTGTGACCATCATGGCTAATGAAGGCTGTCCGAAGGCTGTTGATAGTCCATTTTCATCAGATAAACATGCCCAACTCATCTTGGCCCAGATAAATAAAATGAGAAACGGACAGCATTTTTGTGATGTGCAGCTACAAGTTGGAAAGGAAACTTTTAATGTTCATCGATTGGTCTTGGCTGCCAGTAGTCCATACTTTACAGCTTTGTTTACTGGAGGAATGAAAGAATCCTCAAAAGATGTTGTGCAGATTCTAGGAATTGAAGCTGGAGTCTTTCAGTTACTTCTAGATTTCATTTACACAGGTATGTTACATTAGCCTATGGCTTTGAGGGAAGAATGATACAGGCATTCTTATGTGGTAGGATCAGCAATTGATCTAATTTACAAGCAAGATAATTTAGTAACACATTACCATAAGACTTTGAAAACTCCCTCTTCTCTCTCTCTCTCTCTCTCTCTCTGTCTCTCTGTCTCTCTGTTTGTCTGTCTCTTCTTTGTCCTCTTTTTTTGTGAGATGGGGTCTTACTGCATTGACCGAGATAGCCTCAAGTACTCCTAAGTACTAGCAAGCTTCCTCTTGCAGTCTCAACTTTAGCATTTCTTGTAGCTGGGACTATAGGAACATACAATGTTGGCCAGCTAGTTCCTCTTTGACTCAAGACTCCTTTTCTATGAATTCTAACAATTAACTAATGGTATAGGCACATATTTATGAACCACAATCTTATTGTAACAGTATAGTATATAATTGGATATAATCTAATTGTCCCTCAGTAGGTCATGTGGTTAAATTATGCATACATGTGTAATGGAATATTTCTTAGATCTTAAAAATATTTAAGTGTGAGTGTGATATATATATGTATATACTAAATGAAAAAAATATAATCCCAAAAAGCTGGACATAGTGGTACATGCTTGTAATCCCAGCACTTTGGGAAGCTGAAGTAAAAGATTTACAAATTTGAGCCCAGCCCGGCTGAAAAAAAAAAAAAGGAAGGATGGGTGTAACTCAGTATAAAGACCCAGGGTTCGATTCCCAGTACTGCAAATAAATAACCCAATTTTTAAAAAATTACATATATTTGAGCATGAGAAAGACTAGAATATTGAGAGTGTTTATAGTTGTTTATAGAAACATGAATATGAAGATTGTTAATTTGCTCCTTTCCCTTAAAGATGTTTATCATCTGCGTGCATTATTTTAGTCAAAACTTTTATCTTTAAAATGTTTTGAAGAGTTTTAATGACATAAAATGCTAATAAGGACAGTGTAGTCTTAATTGATATGCAGTATAAAAAAACTATTTGCAAGAAATATACTAAAGTGTTAATGCAATATATGTTAGTATATGGAAAAATGTGTGATTTTTGTTTTGATATTTTCCTGTCAAAGTTTTTGTGAAAGTGAATATTACTCATGATCAGAAAAAAATGTTTGAAAATCAAGACTATTTATTTGATTGAGTTTTAAATAATACTATGTATGTTTTTAAGAAATTGCTAGGTGGGAGGTAATTATATGACCCAATAAAGTGTATTTTTATTTATTTAAAAATTTTTTCAAGTATATTTTTAATGAATAGTATTTAAATCTGGAAAATGATTTAAAAAGTAATTCCTTTTTTGTGTGTTGGTTCCTGTTCCTTTTTGGAAAATTTCAGAACATAACCTTAGTTTGGGAAGTATAACAATAATTAACTAAAAGCAATGCATATCTTGCCTATTGGCTTATGTAAAGGTTAACATTGAGAGTTTTTTTTTTAACCTCACTGTTCCAAATGACTTGTGTGAGCTTATTAAACTACTTTGTATACCCTTTCTGCTTCTTTACTCAAACAATTTAAATTTATACAAATTAATCCATGGATTTAGTGTTGAATGACTTAAAAATGAGAGAAATGCCACAGTTTTTCTAGTATGTCATCCTACAGTGAAAACAAGAGATATTTGTTGAAAAAGAACGTTCATGGTACCTTCATCAGATTGGTGATGATTTCACTTCCATCAAAGAAATAAAAGATGACAAAAATAAAGAGAAGTAAAGGCCACTGGGTATAGAAGACTGACATTTAAGGCAAAATGAGTATCAATTAAGAATAGCATTTGACTGCAAACAATAGATGTAAAATATTAATAAAAGTATTTTTCCATAAAAGTGAATATATAATAGGCTTTCAAAAACTGATGTGGTGACTTTATAGTATCATTGGTCTCCATTTATAATATATAAGACACCTAGTCTTCCAGTATTTTGCTTTACCATCTGTAGCTTGTAGCTTCTACTCTCTTGATTATAAGTAGAAGAAGAAAAGAAGAAAACAAAAGGGGCTGCCACACAATCTTATTTTAAGCTTTTCTGGTGCCCTTCTCAAAGGCTGCTGCCTTTATCCTGTGGGCTAGACTCAATTAAAATTAAGTTCACTGCTAGCTGAGTGTTATGGCATGTCCCAATAATCCTAGTAGTTGGGAGGCTGAGACAGGAGAATTACAAATTTGAGGCTAATCTGGACTACATAACAAGTTCAAGGTCAGTTTAGACTACAAAGTGAAACTTTGTCTCTACAAACAACCCCCTCCAAAAAAGTTTTTTCCTGTCTACAAAGGAAGCTAAGCAGTGTAATTTGCAGCGGGACACAATTGTTACCCACAAAGTTAAGGTTTGGTTAATACAAGATTGAAATGAATATCGAGTATTTATTGGACAGAGAAGTGTTTAATTTGACACAGTTCTTATAAAACATGTTCTTCCATTTGTTCAATTTTAATGTATAACATTTCATTTTTGGGATGTTGGAGGATCAAAACTTGTTATCCTCTTTCTCCTTTGGACGTGTTACTTCCTTTTTTTCCTTTTAAACTGTACTGGATATTAAACCTAGGGACTTGGGCATGTTAGGTAAGCATTCAACAATTGGGCTGCATCCCCAGTTGTTTTACTTTTTATTTTGAGATAATCTTCATCCCTAGGCTGGCCTTGGATTTTCAATCTTTTTCCTCAGCCTCCCTACCATAATACCTATGATAACAGGTTTGCAACAACACACCTGACTTGGATTTGTTATTCTTTGATACTTTGGAGGTTTTGTGGGGACAGGATCAGTATGTAGTTTAGGCTGCCCTCAAACTCACTTTGCTCCAGCTGGGCTGGAACTCACGGTGATCCTCCTGCCTCAGCGTCCTGTGTACCACAGTGCCTGGCTATTTTTTTAAATATATAAACCGAATCCTTTTTTGAGTAAAGTAGTAATGATATGGCAGTAAATAAGACAGGTAATGGTCTCTACCTTCACAGAACTTTATAGGAAATGCAGATTCAGTATTTACGAAATAGAGGTAAGCAACCTGAGCCAGCACACTTGAGAGGCTGAGGAAGAATCACATTTGAGCCCAGCACAAGCAATTTAGCAAGACCCTATCTTAAAAAATAAAATGAATTGGGACTAATAAGGTGAGGATCATAGCACTTCATAGTTTGTGTGAAGATTAAGTGAAATAAATTTTAGTAAAAGTGAAGTTTGTGAATTCTAAGGTCTTTTTAGGTTGTAGGGGGTTCTTATTATTAATCTCAAGCAACTCATCATTATCCATCCAGTAGCAGTCATTTAGCCTTCTGTGTCACAAGCCTTCTTATGTCACCCATGTTCTTACTGTATCCAGATTTGCAGTGTTATAGTACTTGTCTAATCTCAGTTTTCTGTATAGCAAACTATCGTTTACTCCCTTACAGTATTTTCTTTTTTTTTTTTTCATTTTTTTTCCCCTGTGCTGGTGATGATTGAAATCAGTGCCTTTACATTGAGCTATATCCTCAGCCCTTTTTAATTTTTTTTTATTCTTTTATTTTGCGACAGGGTTTTGCTAAATGACTGTGTCTAAATTGGATTTGAACTGAAATTCCCCTGATTACACTGGTAATCAAGTGGATTACCAGTGTATACCACAATGTCTAGTGTGGATTACAGTTTTTATACTTTTGGAAAAGGCCTAGTGAGCTATATTTTTCCTCTCACCTTATTCTCTTTAGTCATTCATTCATTAAAACAATTTTTAGAATGTCTGCCATGTACTAGGCATTTGGAATCCAGAAAGGACAAGTCTTGTCTTAACAGACTTTATAAATCTAATCAATAAAAAAAGCTTTGGATAACTAGTTTAGTGGAGTGATTGTTACAGAGGGGATAAGTTAAAGACAAAGTACGAGAATGAGTGGACTGTTTATTTGGTACAATTACAGTGGGTTCTCCCCTACATATAATTGGCTATTTGATGTGTTCCCAAAGTCATTATGCAATATAAAAATGAAGCTCTCTGGGAAGAAAGTAGTATCTGTAGTTTAAATATTTAATGTCTTCTTATATGTTATAGACTCTTTGTTATAGCTGATAGTAAAAAACTAAACATGTGGCATTATATCGTAATTGAAGATAGGGATTCTGTCTTACTCTTGAGAATTCCTTAGTAATGAACTTTGTTATTTATTTATTTGGTTTTTTTTTTTTTGTCTTTTTCGTTTTTATCAGTACCAGGGATCAAACTCACGACTGCCTGCTGAGCTAAACCCCCAGCCCCTGTTTTTTTTTTTTTTTTTTTTAGAGTGGGTTTTACTATACAGTTTAGGATGGCCTTGAACTCTCAGCAATCCTCCAGCCTCAGCCTCCTGAGTGCTGGGATTATAGGCATACCCTACCACATTGGTAGTGGATTTTAATGTTAGTCCCTACCCTGCAATTTGCTTGGTTATATAGTGGAGAAAAGTCACTTAAACATTCTGATTCTGTTTCCTCGATACAATAATAAGTAAAAAAAAAAAAAGATACATACTACATGAGATGCAGTGAGGGTGAATTAAATATGTAAAACATTTAACGCGGTATCTCGTTCATCATAAATATTTCATAAATGTTAGATATCAATTTCTTTCTACTCGATAAATATTAAACTGCTAGTGAAATCAAGTAAAATAATCAGTATGTTAAGTCAAATGTGTACTTTACGGACTATTTTGTCTCCCTGCTTCTCTAGGTATAGTGAATATAGGTGTGAATAATGTTCAGGAATTGATTGTTGCAGCAGACATGCTACAGTTGACTGAAGTTGTTCATCTTTGTTGTGAATTTCTGAAAGGACAAATTGACCCATTGAACTGCATTGGGATTTTTCAATTCTCTGAACAGATTGCTTGCCATGATCTTTTGGAATTCACAGAAAACTATATTCATGTCCATTTCTTGGAAGTTCATAGTGGGGAAGAGTTCCTGGCACTCACAAAAGATCAGCTGATCAGAATTTTAAGAAGTGAAGAGCTTAGCATTGAGGATGAATACCAGGTCTTCTTAGCTGCAATGCAGTGGATTCTGAAAGATCTGGGAAAGAGAAGAAAACATGTGGTGGAAGTGCTTGATCCAATTCGATTCCCTTTATTACCTCCTCAGAGGCTTTTAAAGTATATAGAAGGTAACGTTAATTTTTTTGTTGTATCAAATTAGTGGATTATCAAGTGGCTTTTTCTCTAAAATGTGCTATCTTCATTTTTTTTAACGCATATTGAATGATTCCTGTATGAAAGATACAACTTTTGTGGATGGGCAGTAGTAGTATTCATACTTTTTTTTTTGAGATAGGGTCTTGATATGCAGCTCAGGCTGGCCTAGAACTCACAGCAATCCTCCTGCCTCAGCTTCCTAAGAGCTGGGATTATAGGCATGTACCACCATCCCTGGCTATACTCATTTTAATGAAATAGTCATGTATCTTTCTTGAAATTGATTTTTAAAAGTTAAGTATTATACATAAAATTACTGAGAGGGCTGGGGATTTAGCTCAGGGGCATAAGCGCCTGCACCGTCCTGAGTTTGATCCCCGGTACAAAAAAAAAAAAAAAGTACTGACAGAGTTACATTGTTAACTGTTGTTGATAGTACTAATTATTTCTACATAAGATTTGCTCTTGCCTTTTTTTATTTTTTTTTTTATCTTTTTGAGACAGGGTTTTGCTGTGTAGTTCAGGCTGACCTCAAACTTAAAGCAATTCTGCCTCAGTCTCCTGAATACTGGGATGATAGGTGTGCACCATCAAACCTGGTGCCATTCTTAAATTGTCAACAAAACCTAAGATTTGAGGAGAGTGCATTTACTAAAAACAAAGCCAAAACTCAGAAAATTCTTTTTTTTTTTTTTTTAAGACTAGTCAAGTACAGTAGTGAGAAGGAGGAAAGAATAGAACAAGGAGTTCAATCTGTACTGACTGTGAACAATCAATTGAGATAACTCACTACCTTCGGACCAGCCAAAACTCAGAAAATTCTATAAATACACTCTTACTGTTAAATGAAATTTATAATGATGTATCAGCAGCTTCTAAGTAGCTTTCGTGTTTTTGGTTTTTTGTCTTTTTGAGACAGGGTCTCACTATGCAATTCAGGCTGGCCTAAAATTCACTTTGTAGTCCAGGCTGGTCTCGAATTTGCAATGATCCTCCTGCCTCAACCTCATGAGTACTGAGATTACTGACATGTACCACCATCCCTGGCTCTGAGCAGCCTTTGAATTATCCTTATATTCTTGACTTCTTTGTGTGTGGTGCTAGGGATCAAATGTAAGCCGTTTTACATGTTAGGCAAATACTTTACCACTGAGCTACATCTGAATCCCTTTTTATATTTTGAGACAGGGTCTTTGCTTGGGCTGTCTTCTAATTTGTGATCCTCATGTTACAACCTCCCCCATAGCTGGGGTTACATGTGTGTGTCATTCTATTCAGTTTCCAGCCCTGATTTGAAACTTTTTTTCTGGAAATACTTTTGCCATAGTATTAAAAAATTCATTTCAAACTAGGCATGGTGGCTCACACCCATAGTCCCAATACTCTTAAGAGGTTGAGGCAGGAGGGTCCTAAATTTAAGCCTAACCTATTTATTCATTTATTTTATGATTTTTTTAACCTAGGAAATTCAGAGACTAAACAAAACTGTGTCATAAAATAAGTGATACAGTATTCTGGCACAATAGAGAGTACAAAAACAACAGGTTTATTGAGGTGAGGACCTGGGAAGGAACACACAACCCACTGCGGCTGGGCTGTCTACTTTGACCAGAGTACTGGGTATGGGACATATGTAACCTTTGACCAGAGGTGGTACTTAGGGTAGGCATTGATGACGCTGGAGGAACAGATTGGAATTCTCTGTGCATGCAAACAGGAAGGGGAGTTGAATTAGGGCTGAGGAAGAAGCAGGAAATGGTAGGCATTCCCGCTTTGGCCTTCTGCCACATTAGAACACCGCCATAATTGTACAGTAATTTATACTGAGGCAAGAACTTTTCAATAAGTAGAGAGGCTTGGGGATATAACTCAGTGTGAAGACTCTAGTTGCAAACTCCAGTATCTCAAAAAACATTATTCTTATTTTGGAAAACGATAGTGTTAAAATTTCTTTTAAAAAAATTTTTAGATGTGGTTGCAGGATTTGATTTTGATTTGTTTCTACTGTTATGCACTGAAACATTAGGCTATGACTGAACTACAAATGATCTTATTACAAATTAAATACATTACTAAGCATCAAAGATGTAATTCTGCAAATAATAGATCATTAGTTTTTTCACTTTTAGCAATATCAACAGAATTTTGAGTGATAGTTTGTATTAATGCATATGTAGTTGTTATTTGTAATAGTTACATTTGATAAAGATCTTATAAAAAACAAGTTAGTAAATACTTAGCTATTTCCTTAGGAGAAATAGGTTTCTGTGAGCCTCTGATGAGATTTTTGTCATCCACTCTTTACAAAGCCTTGTGTCTTATAAGTTTTTGTCCAAAAATAACTTATTTCATATATATTATTGATATACTAAAACTGAACACATAACCAACAACAGTATAATTTTATTTTTGAGATAAGGTCTATCTTTGCCATGTGTGCTGGTCTTGAACTCACTGTGTAGCCCAGGCTGGCCTCAAACTCACAGAGATCCTCCTGCCTCAGCCCCTTGAGTGCTGGAATTACAGGTGTGCACCACCATGCCTGGCTTGATTTTTGTTTTCTTGATGATAGCCATTCTGGCTGGGTTGAGATGGAATCTCAATGTCTTTCTGATTTGCAATTCCCTAGTCGTAAAGATGTTTGAGTATTTTTTCATACATTTATTGGCCATTTGTACTCCCCTTTTAGGAAATATCTAATTCATTTGCCCATATATTTATTGGGCTGTTGATATTCTTTGATAAGTTTTAAAAATTCTTCATATAGTCTAGACCAATGATGGCAAACTTTTCAGAGCTTTCAATGATACAGTCTGTTGTGGCATGTGTACCATAGGTTTGCCACTACTGGTCAAGACTCTGGTCGTGCACAGACCAGAGAGTAGCAGGCACAGATTTTCTCCCATTCTGGAGGCCATCTTTCCACTGAATTAATTGTTTCTTTTGCTGTGCAGAAACTTTAATTTGATGTCCCATCTGCTGATTCTTGCTGTTATTTTCTGTGCTATTGGAGTGCAGTTCAGGAAGTCTGCCTGTGCCAATAGCTTCAAATGCTTCCCCTCTGTTTTCTTTTAGAAGTTTTCATTTCAGATCATATACCTAGTATTTCTGATCCATTTTGAATTGATTTTTATAGAGGGTGAGCGACAGGGATCTACTTTTAGTCTTCTAGTAGATATCCTTCTTGTTATTAGTATAAGATTTTTGACTTTTTAAAAATGTTGTTAGATAATTATGATCTTATTTCTCCTTGTCTTTATTTGAAACCCTTATATATATGTTTTCAAATTTAATATTGTGAAGCATATTTTTATTTTTTGATATAAACTATAGTTTTGCTAATTAGAATAATTCTGAGTACAAATAAAATTTAGATGTACAAATTGAATAATGTGGATACACAAGTATTAAGAAAATCACAGGTTAGAACTAAGCTTGGCCAAGAACTAAGAACATTTGTTTGATTTTTACTGTCTAATACACTGTGAAACATGTTTTTAAAAATAACTTTTGGGGGTTGGGGATTTAGCTCAGTGGCATAAGCACCTGCCTTGCAAGCAGGCGGTTGTGAGTTCGATCCCCGGTACCAATAAAAAAAAACAAAAACAAAAACTTTTGAAGCTAGGTGTAGTGTTGTACACCTATAATCCCAGCACTCAGGAGGCTCTGGCAGGAGGATTATTGCAAATTGGAGACCGGCCTGGACTACAAAGTGAGCTCAAGGCCAACCTGAACTGCATAGCAAGATTCTGTCTCAAAAAGACAAAAAAAAAAAAAAAAAAAAAAACCCCAAAAAACACTTCTGATAAATTTAAGTAAAATATATTCTCCATAGCAATGAATTTTTATTAATTCGCTGAATATGTCTATCAGTACATATCTTTTCAACAGTATTTAAAACAGTATCTTTTTAATCACTGCTTTAGGAGTATCTGATTTTAATCTTCGTGTTGCATTGCAAACACTTTTGAAAGAGTACTGTGAAGTGTCCAAATCTCCAAAAGAGAACAAATTTTGTAGTTTTCTGCAGACATCTAAAGTTCGACCTCGAAAGAAAGCAAGAAAGTACCTGTATGCAGTAGGTAAGAAAAAGTAATAGAAATTATCTTTATTACAGAATCAAAGCTTTCTAATAGTTTGTTGTGATTACTATCCATGTCAGAATATTAGGTACATTAGAGATATATTTAATTTTTCTTTCAGGCTATAAATTTATAAGTTGTATTCATATATTACAGTCAGTGTTTCTAAAACTGACTATAATATAGAAATATAATTTGTGTATAAGTAAACTAATTATACTACTCTTTTTTTAAAGTCTTTTTGAGACAGGGTCTCACTATGCAATTCAGACTTCCCTTGAACTCACTTTATAACCCAGCTGGCCTTGAACTTGCTGTGATTCTCCTGCTTCACCTGTACTGGGATTACAGGTGTGTGCCATCACATCTGGTTTATAAATATATACTTTTGGGACATATGCTAAATTTTTTATTGATGGGATGTGCAGTGAAAACAAGGATTTTAACCCACTATTTTTAATTGAAAAAGATACTAGTGGAAGTCAAGATAAAACTTCCTAGCTAGACAGATAACCAGTGGTTTAGATTTATATTTTATTTATATATTTTAACATTCTTTTTTTTTTTTTTTATCGGTAACAGTGATGGAACTCACAACCACACACTTGCAAAGCAGGCGCTTATGCTGCTGAGCTAAATCTCCAGCCTATTTTAACATTCTTTTTTTTTTTTTTTTCTTTTTCCTTTTCCTTTTTATCGGTACCAGGGATCGAACTCACAACTGCCTGCTTGCAAGGCAGGTGCTTATGCCGCTGAGCTAAATCCCCAGCCCCTATTTTAGTATTCTTTTACAACCAAGACCAGGTGCTAAACCACTGAGGTTAACCTTGTTGCTTTTAAACCATAATCTTTCAGAATTTGCCATATTAAAGAATAATATATTGGGGCTGGGGATTTAGCTCAGCGGCATAAGCGCCTGCCTTGCAAGCAGGCAGTCGTGAGTTCGATCCCTGGTACCGATAAAAACGAAAAAGACAAAAAAAAAAAAAAAAAAAGAATAATATATTGGGCCGAGGATATAGCTCAGTGGCACAGCACCTACCCATCAAGCGGTTTGATTCCCAGTACAAAATATGTATTAAGCTGGGTGTGGTGGGAAGCTGAGACAGAAGATTTCTAGGAGTTTGAAGCCATCCTGCACTATAAAGCAAGACCCTGACTCAACCCCCCCCATATATATATTTTTTTTTTTATATGGAAGCTCTAAAGCATTTATGTCTTGGTAAGTAATAGTCCTATTCTGTTTAGATATACAGGGTTAGTTTCCTCATTATTGTCACTTGCATATTTAGCAGTAAGTAATTTGCTGTTTCCTTCTTTTCCTTCTTTTGTTTAGGTGGGTATACACGGTTGCAGGGGGGTCGCTGGAGTGATAGCAGAGCCCTCAGCTGTGTAGAACGTTTTGATACCTTTAGTCAGTATTGGACCACTGTGTCTTCACTTCATCAAGCTCGATGTGGACTGGGAGTAGCAGTTCTGGGAGGGATGGTCTATGCTATTGGAGGTAATGATACAAATGTATTGTTTCCCTTATTAAACCTCATTGTGCCTTGTTATTTGAGATAGGATCTTGCATTGTAGTTTGGGCTGGCCTTGAACTCACTATGTGGTCCATTCTGGCCTCAGTTTTGTAATCTTCCTGTCTTAGCCTCTTGAGTGCTAGAATCTACACTGTCTACATTTTTTTTGTGCTGCCTCCTTCCCTTTCCTCTACTTAGCTACATTTTTGTATTGTTTGTATATATTGCTAAGTATTATATAATATTCATATAGATTGTTTAATAAACAATAAATATTGAATGGATTAAAGAAAGAAAAAGAAACAGATTGTTGAATATCACAAACTAGAGAGATCCTGTTATCCCAACACAAAAAATAGGACAGAACTTTGAATAACCAGAAGGAAAACTCTTTTAGTTGTTAATTTGCTTTGTTGTAAGATTCACCATTTTTTTTCTTCCATTGCCAACAGTGCTGCCACCACTCTCCATGCCATATTTTTTTCAGTGCTGATAATCAAATAATTGCAGGTATGGTGGTGCATACCTATAATCCCAGCATTCAGGAAGTTCAGGTAGGAGAATAGGAGGATCACTGTGAGCTCGAGGCCAACCTGAACTACTAGTGAGATCCTGTCTCAAAGGAAAAAAAAATATATATTTAATGTGGCTCTTATTTTAAATATACTGTAATTTGAATTGTTAAGGCAAAAGAATTTTTTTGTACATTCTTCATTTAACTGGAATAAATTTGGGTCAGTATAAATTTAAACCACTATGTATTTATTGCTGAGTAACATATATATATTTCCATTCTAAGAAACATAAGTTCTCAAGAAATTTAAAAGCAAAAAAAAAAAAAAAGAAACATAAGTGAGTGAAGTTGAAATAAATTCTTTAAAGTTTAGTATATTGCCAGTGGTTTCACAAAAAATTTTGTTGTATTCGTTTATCAATTTAATCAAATAAAAATGGTTAAGACAAAAATACTGTCATCCATCCCCACCCTTGCTCTGTGGTACTAACTCTTCAAATATCAAAGTTTATATATGGATCTGTTCCTAGAATTTCTTTTTGTACTATTAGTTTCTGTCTATCTCTATCTTAATTACTCTAGCTCAATCATAAGTCTTAAAATATAATAGGGCTGTTTCTCTCAACTTATACTTTTCTGCTGGTGTTTGGGTATTCTTGGTTCTTTGTAGTTCTATATAAATTTTAGATTCAACTCATTAAATTCTTTATTTTTTTTATTGTCATGACCATGCGCTTGCAAAGCAGGTTCTTATGCCACTGAGCTAAATCCCTGGCCCTAAATTCTTTTTTTTAATGGTAGCAAAGTTTTATTAAAGGTAGGAAAAGAAAATACATTTTGCAAAGTGAGTTTGAGCCAAGTGAAAATAAGAAAAAAAATAAATAAAACTACAGTATGAGGTTAGACTGCTATACAGGAGGGAACACAGTGGCCAAAATCCTTGAAAAATCTGATTTTTGCAGCCGGGGATGTAGCTCAGTGGCATTACACCTGCCTGGCAAGTATGAGGTCTTGAGTTTGATTCCTGGTACCAAAAATAAAATAAAATAAAATAAGTCAAATCAAATCAAATCTTGTTTCTTGCCAGGGATTTAGCTCAGCAGAATAAGCACCTGCCTGGCAAGCGTGAGGTTGTAAGTTCAATCCCTGGCATCAAAAAAAAAAAAATCTGATTTTTGAGCTAGAGTTGGTGCACATACCTATAATCCCAGCATTTGGGAGGCTGAGGCAGAAGAATCACCATGAGTTTGAGGTAGCCTAAACCATATAGTGAAGCCCTGCCTCAAAAAAGACTCCCCCCACCCAATTGTATTTTTATAGGGCAAATTGGGATGGTATTAAATCTATAAATCAATTTAGGAATAATTATTTTTACATTGACTCTTTTTGTGTGTGTGTGTATGGTACTGGATCAAACTCACAACCTCGCTTGCTAGGCAGGCTGTTATGCCACTGAGCTAAATCCTCAGCCCTATGCTGACTCTTTTTTTTTGTTGTTTTTTTTTGTTTTTGTCTTTTTATCAGTACCGGGGATCAAACTCAGGACTGCCTGCTTGCAAGGCAAGCGCTTATGCCACTGAGCTAAATCCCCAGCCCCCCTTTGCTGACTCTTATAGTTCATGAATATGATATATCTCTTGAGTTCATTTATTTAGATGTTCCTTAATTTAAAATTTTATCTAAGTAGATTTATAATTTTTGTCCATTGAAGCCTTGAACAGTTTTTGATTAGATTTAATTTTTCATGTGTATGTATGTGGTTTGGGAATCGAATACAGGGCTCATAGATGCCAAGTGTACACTCTGTCACTGATGAGCTATATACTTCCAGGCCCTAGACTTACTTTTTTTTTTTTTCTAGTACTAGGCATTGAACCCAGGGATTAGTGAGTTATATCCCCAGCCCCTTTAACGTTTTTTATTTTAAGACAGAATCTCACTAAATTGCCCAGGCTGAACTGGATTTGGTGGTGGTACACTCCTGTAGTCCAAGCTCTCAGAAGGTTAAGATAGGAGGATTGCCATGAATTTGAGGACAGTTGGGGCTGCATAGTGAGTTCAAGGCCAGTCTGAACTACATAGTAAGGCCTTGTCTCAAACTCCTCCTACACAAAAGAAAAAATTGCCCAGGCTGGCTTTGAACTTGTGATCCTCCTGCTTTAACCTCTTGAGTAGCTGGAATTTGCTCACCATGCCTAGCTAGACTTACTGTTAAGTATAGTATACTGTATTTTAAGATTTTATTTTAAGTGGTATTTTTTTTTTCTTTTTACCGGTACCGGGGATCAAACTCATGACCACCTGCTTGCAAGGCAGGTGCTTATGCCGCTGAGCTAAATCCCCAACCCCTAAGTGGTATTTTTTAAAAAAAAATTTCAGGGCCAGGGATTTCTGAAAATAAGGAGTGTACTGAATATTGTATTATGGTACTAGTCTATTAGCAGTACAAAACCTTCTGATGTGTCTCTTTTGTTTAAACCAGGTGAAAAGGATTCAATGATTTTTGACTGTACCGAATGCTATGATCCAGTTACTAAGCAGTGGACAACTATAGCTTCGATGAATCATCCCCGTTGTGGCTTGGGAGTTTGTGTGTGTTATGGAGCTATCTATGCTTTGGGTAATTATGCTGTTCAGTTTAAGTGTAATAGAATTATTTGAATTCTTAAATTCTGGTTAGAGACGTTTCTTCTTTCCCATAAGTATCTTTTCAGCTTTGTAAATTCTCATTCTCAATTTGTATTATTTAGAGAATATTGTCAAGTACACAGTTTTATTGTTTTTACAGTCTTTCTATTATCATTCTCTTTGAGCTTGTTTCCCCTTAAGTATGTAGTTTTCAAAGAAGATAGAGGTAATTTATAGATGCTTATGTCCAGTAAATCACTTTTGCTGACTAGTTAAATCTCCTAATTTTAACTAAGTACATAGCACTTTTATCACTCTGTTTTAGCCTAATTATTTATATCCAGTATAACAGAGCCCATAAAAAAGTTAAAGACACCAAAAGAAAGTTCTGAGATACATTATTTTCATTATTACAAATTTAGTGAACGGTTATGTGATTTTTTAAAAAAATATATTTTGTGTTAAAGTGAAAATAGGTATAGTCTCTCTTATTTGCTTCATGTTACCACCTTTATAATTTACTATATAGAACTTAATGTCCTCCCCCTTCTCTGTCCGTCAGCACCTATACTGGAAAAGATACCAGTTACCTCAATGTGAATTTTTTTGGTCTTTTTAAAACAGAGTTTTTCTATAGACTTTGGGCTGGTCTTGAACTCACTTTTGTAGCCCAGGCTGATCTCGAACTTGCAAGGATCCTTCTGCCTCAGCCTCCTAAGTGCTGGGACTATAGACATGCAATACCATGTCTAGCATACATCAATGTAAATTTAATTCATTGTTCTTTTCATCACTCTCACAAATACTTTCATGTTTCTCTTTTTTTGTCTTGTTTTATTTTGTTTTGAAACAGGGTCTTTGTGTAGTACAGGCTACTCTTGAACTCATTATGTAGACCAGGCTGGCCTCAAACTCACAACATCCTCCTGCCTCAGCCTTCAGAGTGCTGAGATTACAGTAGTTAGCAACACCGTGCCCAGCTTGTATTTTTCAGTTATATTTCAAAGTGTAGAAGCAAACATTTTCTGGGTTGGGGATTTAATTCAGCTGCTCAAGTGCTCTTCCTGGTAAGCATGAGGTTGTAAGTTTGCTCCCGGTACAAAAAAAAAAAAAAAAAGAAGGGAACATTTTCAATGTCAATAATTGGAGAATATTAAAGAAATGATATCTTGGGTATCAAGGACCTTTTTGAAATTTTTTTTTTTTTAACTGGTACAGGGGATCAAACTCACGACTGCGCGCTTGCAGGGCAGGCACTTATGCCGCTAAGCTAAATCCCCAGCCCTACTTTTTTGAAGTTTGTAAAATCACTCTAAATAGGTATATATCCAATTAGGCTTAGTATTGGCCTTAATTAATGTAACCATTCTGAACACACAGATATCATTACAAAAGTTGGTTTTACAGAACACTGTATTTACCATGTTATATGTTGAATTTTTTGCTTTGTTTTGTTTTATTATCTAGTAAAACTAGCCAGGGAGTTAAATCCCTGAGTTTACTCATGGTCATAATCTAACTTTTTGTGTCATCATGGACAAATTACTTCTGGTTCATGTGATATTACTCTATATTATAAAGTAGTTGAATTAATTGTTTTCTAAAGTCTTTGTCATACAACTATTTTTTTTCTTTTTTTGAGACAAAATCTTGCTATGCAATTCAGGCTGGCCTTAAGCTCACTCTTAAACTTGAAGTGATCTACCTGCCTCAGCCTCTGAAGTGCTGAACATAGGTGAGCACCAGCACACCTGGCTTGTCATAAGATTTTCTTATCCTAGAAATAAACATTTTTTTCTGTTTCATCATAGGTGGATGGATTGGAGCTGAGATAGGAAACACAATTGAACGATTTGATCCTGATGAAAATAAATGGGAAATAGTAGGTAACATGGCTCTGTCACGCTACTACTTTGGGTGTTGTGAAATGCAAGGTAATTACTCTATAAAATATTTTTTACTATACATATGTGTGTGTATATACACACATACACACACATACACACACACACTTTTTGTTTTGTTTTATTTTTTGGGTTTTTTTTTTTCCTTTTGGTACCAGTGACCAAACTCACAATCTCACATTTGCCAGGCAGGCACTTGTGCCACTGAGCTATATCCTCAGCCCCTGTACATGTATGTTTTAAAACTGAGCTTAAAGCTTTATTTTTATAACAGTATAATTTAGGTCTGTTAGTATTGAGTGACATCAGCAGTATATGATTTCTACCTTTCATCTCTTATTAATGTTTATCTCTTGTTATTGATCTTATGTATTACCAAAATAATTTATTTTTTTCTGTAATAAACAAGGCTGGTTTAAAATTTCTAGATAGGCAGAAATACCTGGATTTCAAAACACAGATTTGAAGTGTCATTCATTATTGTCTTTTTCTCTCCTTGAATGCCTGAGTTGAGTTTTCAAGGTAGAGAACAGTGTTCGTGGCTTCTTTAGGTTTTTTTTTTAACAGTACAGTATAATTCTGTCCACAAAGAATATAATCCAATAACAGATTTGAAAATAACTGTGGTACATATAAAAGTGGTATATAAATGTTCTTTTGTCTACCCTGAGATAAGTAGTAAGTACAGTCAAATAGAATCTGAATCTCTGCTTACATCAGAGAACAAATTTCTGTGTACTTACAGAGTGAGTACACCCATTGCCTATTGCTGTATAACTATTCAGCATCTCATGTCCAGCTCAAGTTCTTCCTGCTTTATGGAAACTGTACCTTCTTCAGTTTCCATGGATGTTTAAATGTTCAAATTACATGAAATGGACTATATTTTATTGTTTAATGTTTCACTATTCTTTAGTTATTTTATATTTAGTATTTTTAACATTCTAACACTTTTATTTTCCCATCTAAAACCATAAAGGCAGAAAGAGATCTTTATTTCATTTTCTTTCACTTATAGATGAGAAAGCTAAAGTTCAAAGTCATAGTTGGGTATGGCTAAGCTAGACTAAAACCTATGTTACTAACATTTTGTTCATGTTTCTTTTTTTTTTTTTTTTTTTTTTTTTTGAGACAGGGTCTCACTATGTATGTAGTTCAGGCTAGTTTTGAGTTTACTATGTAGCCCATGCTGGCCTCAAACTCCCAGTGATTCTCCTGCCTCAGCCTCCTGAGTGCTAAGATTACAGGCATGGGCCACCATGCCAATCGTAATGTGGGGTTTATATGCAATGGAGTACTACTCTACTACAAAACAGGGTATACCTGAGTTGTTTGTAGGAAAATGGATGCGCATTGAGAACATAATGTTGTGAAATAAATCAAACACCTAAGCTTAAATATCGCATGAGTTCTCTTTTTTAAGAAACCCAATGTAGAAATGAATTAAAAAACAAAAATAGGCAATAGGAAACAGGGAGATAGATCTTTCACAAATGGGAAAGGGATCAAAAGATGCAGGGCTGGATGTAAAAAGAATTAAGACATTTTATGTACATGAACTGATTCTCTGTGAGGAATGTAGTCACAAGAAAACAAAGGGGTAAGTTTAAGTTTTGCTTCTAACCGATCAAGTCAGTTCCTGATATGGCCAGGACTCCACTGTGATAGTAGCACCAGGTCCACTTGACATTCCCTCCAGATTAGCTTTCTCTTGTTCAGCTTCTGCTGACCTTGCCACGTGGCGCCATTGAACCTCTATTCAAACCTGGCTCCTGCCTACCAGTCTCTTCCCAAGTCTACTTCAACTTCCCTGCCTCCTTTGACCCCGTCCCTGGCTCAGACAACTGTGCCTAACCAGAGGTCTCAGCATGAGCCCACTGCTGGGAGGAAGGCAATTCCTCAGGGTCACCAGGAAAGAAGGACACAGGTAGAGACATCTTTCTGTTTTTTTGAGACAAGTCTCACTTTGTAGTTCAGTTTAGCCTTGAACTCACTATGTAACCCACACGGGCCTAGAACTTACAGTGAACCTCCTGCCTCAGGCTCCTACATAACTAAATTAAATACGGTACTTTGAGCAATAATTAGAGTGTCATCAAAGAGGGCAGTGGCATTCTAGTTTAAGTACATGGAAAAATCCATATTCCTTTTCTTTTTTATTTGTGGGTACTGGCAGTAGATCTGATACCTGAGATCATCAGATAGTGAAAAGAGAAAAATCATCATCTAACAAATTATTTTGTTATAATATCCTTAATTTCTTTGAAAATTCAATGCCACATTAAATTAATAGTCCTAATTTTTGCAATGTGCTTAAATGTGAGATGTGATAATACAGACACAAGTTAATTTTTTTCTATAAATAATTTTGTAAACCTTGGAATTAAATACAGCATTAGCTCAGCAAACATGGATGACACCTATTACTTATCATATATTACTTTCTGTGATATCTGAGCAAAACTATTCCATTTCCAGGTTTAATATATGTAATTGGGGGAATCAGCAATGAAGGAATAGAACTTTGTTCTTTTGAAGTCTATGATCCACTTTCTAAGCGTTGGTCTCCGCTTCCTCCGATGGGAACCAGAAGAGCATATCTTGGGGTAGCTGCACTCAATGACTGCATCTATGCTATTGGAGGCTGGAATGAGACACAAGATGCTCTTCATACTGTAGAAAAATATTCCTTTGAAGAGGTATGTTGGATGATTTCAAATATTTAGTATCTTGGTTTTCTTTTAATGTCTGTGAGATCTACAGTGATGTGTTCTGTTTCAGTCATGAGTTTGATCATTTTTGGTTTTTACTCCCTTTGTTTTCAAAGAATTGGCTTTAGCATCATTGATTTTTTTTCTATTGTCCATTTTCTGTTTCTTTAATTTCTACTATTTTTCTATTTATTTTGGGTGTTGCCCTTTTTTTTGTAACTCTTTTCTTTTTTTGTCTTTTTCCTTTTTACCGGTACCGGGGATCGAACTCATGACTGACTGCTTGCAAGGCAGGCGCTTATGCCACTGAGCTAAATCTCCAGCCCCAACTCTTTTCTTTTGAGACAGAGTTTTGCATGAAGTCCAGGCTGTTTTTGAGTTTGTAGCAATCCTTTTACCTCAGCCAGAGTGCTGAGATTACAGGTGTATACCACCACACCTAGCATTTTTTTCTTTTTTTGAGACAGGGTCTCACCATGTAGTTCAGGTTGACTTTGAACTCATTATGCAGCCAGGGCTGGCCACAATTTGTGGCAATTTTCCTGCCTTAGCCTCCAGAGTGCTGGAGTTATCAGTGTGCGCTCCCAGGCCTGGCTCAGTTTTCTAAATTCTTAAAGTAGAAGCTGGGATGATTGATTTCCTTTTTCTAAAATATGAGACTTTAAAGGTATAAATGTTCTTCAAGCACTGATTTAGCCACATCCTATACATTTTACTATGTTTGTATTTGTTTTTTGTCTTCGTGAGACAAGGTTTCACTATACAGCTGAGGCTGAATTTGAATTAACTTTGTAGCTCACACTGGCCTCAAACTCCCAGCAATCCTCCTACTTCAGCCTCTCAAATGCTAGGATTATAGGTGTGTGCCACCACGTGGCTCTTTGTATTTTAATTAGCATTTATTTTGATTTTTTTTTTTTTTTTTTTGAGGCAGGGTCTCACTATGCAGTTCAGACTAGCCTTGAGCTCACTTTGTAGGCTGATTTTGAATTTGCAGTGACCCTCCTGCCTCAGTCACCCAAGTACTGGGATTATAGGAGTGCATCACCACGCCTGGTTTATTTTGAAATATTTTCTAATTTACTTGACTTGATCCATGGGCTGGAGATAACACCATGGTAAAATATATACTTTATATATTTATAAAAAACTTTAAAAATACACTTTTATTTTTTCCTTCTCTCTTTTTTTTTTTTTTTGTGGTGCCAGGGCTCAAACTCATGACCTCATGTTTGCCAAGCAGGTATTTAACGCCGCTGAGCTAAACTGACAGCCCTTTTTCTCCTTCCTATCCTTTATGGTATTGTTGTAATACACCTTACTTGTATATATATGTTTCAAATTTCATGGTTCACTTTTAAACAATTCAAAATACTTTAATGAGTTTTCATAATATATACAAATACCATTTCTAATTCTGGGTTTTTTTGAGGGGGTAGAACTGAGTTTCTGTCATATTTTCTCTTAGCTTGAAGAACTTCCTTTAATTTTTCAAGTATAGGTCTCGTTGCACTCAGGTTTTTATTTTCTGAAACATTTTTTCTACCTTCGTTTTTGAAAGATACTTTTCTGAGCACAGAATTTTAAGTTGATTTTTCTTTCAGCACCTTGAAGATGTTTAGTTTCTTCTCACATAGTTTCTGATGGGAAGTCACAGTCATTTTTTTTTTCTTTTTTGGTACCAGGAATCAAACTCAGGACTTGCACTTGCCAGGCAGGCACTTTTGCCACTGAGCTATATAACACCAACATCACAGTGATTTTTTTATCTTTGTTTTCCCATACGTTATGTGGCTTTTTTCATTGAGTCTTTGAAATCTCTTATCACAAGTTTTCAGTAATTTGTGATTTTACATTTTAAGAGTTTTGTGTTTAACTTGCTTGGAATTTGTTGAACTTTTTGTATCTGTGAGATTCTAGTTTTCCTCAAATTGGAAAACTTTCTTAGTTCTTCATCTATTATTGTGCCATCTTTCTGTGACTGCATTTATGTGTATGAAACCACTTGATACTGTTGCACAGTTACTGAGGCTTTTTTTTAGCCTTTGTTTTCTGTATTTTACTTTGTATAATTTCTCTTTTTCTGTCTTCATGTTCATTAATCTTCTCCAATGTCTACTTGCACCTAGTTTTTTTTTTTTTTTTTTGTCTTTTTTGTTTTTATCGGTACCAGGGATCAAACTCACGACTGCCGGCTTGCAAGGCAGGCGCTTATGCCGCTGAGCTAAATCTCCAGCCCCGCACCTAGTTTTATATTTAAGAAATTATATAATTTTTTGTTTTAGTAAATATTTTTAGGTCTTCTCTCTTGTCATATTTTCAATCATCTAAATAATGGTTTTAAAATTGTCAGTTTTATCATGTCTGTAATTTTTGGGTTTCTGTTGACTTTTTCTTTTCAGTTGAGCCACACTCTCTACCTTACCATATTTCTAATAACTATGAATTTGATCCTGGATATTTTAAATGTCATGTTGCTGTGTATTTGGATTTTGTTTTGTTGTTGATATACTAGAAATTAACCCAGGAGCTGTAGGCAAGAACATTACCACTGAGCTATCTCCCTATCCCTTTATATTTTTTATTTTGAGACAGGAACTTGCAGTTCTTTTTCAGCCTCCCCAGGAGTTGGGATTACAGCAATATGCCACGTCTGGCCGGATTTTACTTTCTTAAAGAAGTGTTCACTTATTTCCATATTAGATTAATTCTTTTGAAACTGATTTTTAAATTTTGTTGGAAGAATCTAAAGTGGTCTTTTAAGTCTAGTGTAGCCCTGCTACTAAATCACGACCCCCTTGGCTCTCTATAGAATTCTTTCAGGTGTTTAACAAGGTCTGTTCACTTTGGTTGGTCAGAACTTGAGTATCATCCAGTCTTTTGTGAACTCTGAGAATTCAGGAGTTACAATTAATACTATTTGTTGTTTACTTGCTTTTGTGGAGTCTCACTCTATGCAGGCATAGACTAGTAGTCAACCAAAGACTCAAGGGGACCTCTAGTCTCTGTAAATTTCAGGTGTTTTCAATCTCTCCTGTCTCACTCTCCTAAATTAAATATCATGCTCTTCTGATACTGATGTGAGAAAATCCCTCAAAACATTTATATTTCTCATTTCTCCCTCACCTCCCTCATCTCATTTATTTTTCTCAGAAATCAGTTTAGCATTGTCTGTTTTCCAGTGTCTGAGAACTTCGTTTCATGTGTCTTGTCCAGTTTTCTAGGTCTTAATGGCAGGAAGGCAAGTTTGGTAACAATTAACCTCTTTCTTTTTTCTTTTTTCAAATCCATTTATTTCAAAGAGGAAAAAAATAAAAACTTCAAAACACAACAATCAGGGGACAACAATGGTACATACATTGCACATTGCCCAAATCAGTCACCCAGAGCACAAGACATCTGCATTCAAACAATTAACCTCTTACATCTAAAATGGAACACCTTCCTCTCTTTTTAGTATGTTCCCACAATTCATTGACCACATCTTTTCTTTTTGTCATAATAAAATATTTTAGGCTCATCTTACACTTTTTTTTTCCAGCTTTGGAATGAGCCATTTCTCCAAAAAGTTTCAGGTCCACTTAGTGAATGACAGTATCTGCATTACAGTGTCTTAACTTCTATGGCACTGTAGTAACTTTGGAGTCAGAAAGTGTGTCTTCCAAATGTGAATTTTTTTTGTTTTGTTTTGTTTTTTGAGACAGGTCTTGCTGTATAGTCCAGGCTGGCCTTGAATTCACTATGTAGCTCAGCCTGGCCCAGAACTCTCAGCAATCCTCCCACCTCAACCAGTAGAATGCTGGTTTTACAGGTGTTTACCACTACGCCTGGCAATCTTCTTTTAAAATTTAAGATATTCTGGGATCTTTGAGTTTCATGTGAACTTTAGGGTCAAGTTATAATTTCCTGCAAAGAAGCTAGCTGGTTTCTGTGTATATATGGGAATGAGGGAGAGCTGCATTGAATCTGACATTAATTTGGAGAATATTGCCATCTTAACAGTATTAAGCCTTTTGATTCATGAATATGGGATGTCTTTTATTTAGATTGCCTTTGGTTTAACAACCTCTTAGGGGCTGGGGATTTAGCTCAGCGGCATAAGCACCTGCCTTGCAAGCAGGCGGTCGTGAGTTCCATCCCTAGTACCAATAAAAAGTTAAAAAAAGAAAAAGAGCAAACAACCTCTTGTAGTTTTCAGTTCTTTATACTTTTTTGATTTAATTTGTTCCAAAGCATTTTATTCCTTTGGTACTATTGTAAACTGAGTTATTTTCTTAATTTCATTTCAAATGTTCATCAAGTGTATAGAAATATAATTGACTTTTGAATATTGATCTTGTGTACTGCAACCTTGTTGTATTTGTAGTGTATAGGGGTTTTTTTGTTATTGTTTTGTGGTACTGGCATTAAATCCTTACACATGGTAGGCAAGCACTATACCACTAAGCTACATCTTTGGCCCTAAAAAGGTTTTATTTGGGGTGTATGTGTGTGTGTGTGTTTCTTTTGGATTTTCTATATACAAGTTAACATTATCTATAAATATAGTTTAAGTTTTAAAATCTGGACTATCTCTATTTTATGCCTTTTACTTTACTTTTCTTCCTACCCTAGCTAGAACTTTCCATGGTGTTTTTTTAAAAAATATAGTTTTATTACATTTCAGTCTTTTTTTAAAATCGGTATTTTATTTATTTATTTATTTTCTCCATACAGTGTTAAATAGTAGTCTACCAGGTATGATGGTACATACCTGTAATTTAAGCACTGTAGGAGGTCGAGGAAGGAAGACCATGAGTTCAAGCTCAGCATGGGCAACTCAGTGACAGTGTAACCCTCTTTCAAAATAAAAGATTAAAGAAGAGCTGAGGATATAGTTCAGTATAATTCAATCCTCAGTAACCCCTCCTCCCCCACCAAGTGACAAAGTGGACATCCATGTTCTAGAAAGCATAGGATTTTTATTCTCATTTCTTATGAGTTTCAGACTTTTGTGATACTTTAGATTTCTTTCACCTTCTATATTTTGATCTCTTTAATATAGAAAGTAAAGTATTTTTTTGTTGTTGTTGTTTCATAATACTGGAGAATGAACCAAGGCCTTTGTACTGAACTGCATTTGTAGCCCTTTTTATTTTTTGAGGCAAGGTCTAAGATGGCTAGGCTGCGCTCCAAATTGTGATCCTCCTTTCTCCACCTCCTGGAGTACTAGAATTACAGACATTTGCCACCACACCTGCCTAGAAAATGAACTTTTTGAGGATATTTCCTGTTACTAACTTTTCTGTATGGCTATGAAATGAAGATGTCTTAGTTCCAAAATAACTCTTAGCAATGTTACCTTGGTTTTTAATAGATAAATCTGAAATTTTGTTGCTTACTACTTACGGAAGTCTTAATTCATAAATTCCAGCAAATTCTATAAAGATAATGTAGAACATGTTTTTGATCTTACAGTTTAAGGTCACTTGTAATAAAGAGCAAACTGTAGTTCTGATACACTGATAGAAATGAAAAAAACAATACAGGAGGATAAGCTGCATGCTCCAAAATTGTCAAGGGGCATTTTTGTGAGAAAGCAAAGGTTAGTGCTCCCTTATTATAGTTGCTTTTTTCTTTTTTTTTTCAAACTTTTGGTACTAAGGAACTAATCCAGAACCTCAAACTTGCTACGCAAGCACTCGATCACTGAACTAAATCCCAACCTCTATTCTCCTTAATTATAAACATAACCTCAAAACACCCTAATTTATCTTAACCAGTAGGGATATTTAATGAATATATTTTTTCTTTTTTTTTAATTTAGTTTAATTTTATTTTTTATCGGTATCGGGGATCGAACTCACGACCGCCTGCTTGCAAGGCAAGTGGTTATGCCACTGAGCTAAATCCCAAGCCCCATGAATATATCTTTTAATTTATAATTATTTTTCATCTATACTATTTTGGGACATATTCCATTATTACAAATGCTTGTCACCTTCAAATTTAATTTGATGCTTCAATTTTAAAGAACTATCCCTGATTTTATTATTTCAGAATTTCATTTGTTTGGATCAGCAAACATACATCAACTGTCTATAATGGGCTGGGACTATACTAGGTCCTAAGATGAAAAGGTCATTAACTAAGTCTGTGTCCTCAAAAAGCTTATTCTCTAGCATTAATAAGTAACCAATGTTCACTTTTAAAGATTTCAAAAACTTCGTTTACAGTATGCTTTATTTATATATAATCTATTCTTTATTATCTGGCTACTTGCTCCTTTCTTTCCTTATTACGTTTTAGGAACTTTATTAGCTTTGCTGTTTTATAGGTATAGACAGTTCCCCTGCAGTGGGACCCTAATAGTAATTTTAGGAAGAGAAGCTAATTGGGATTTCTTCAGGAAATATTTTTGGCCTTGTTGGTCAAATACAGCATCTTCTCAACATATTCTTTTTTTTTAAAAAATAACCTTTTAACATGGAAAAATCATTTTTTATTCTTAGGCTATACAGAAATACACTATAGTACCCAAACCTTGAAAATTTGTTTTGCAAATTGCTAACTCCCACTGGATAGTCCTTAAAACAAAGATTTCATGATCAAATAAATTTGGCAACTGGGATTTAGCTCAGTGGCTCAAGTGCTTACCTGATGAGCTCAAGTTCATGAGTTTGATCCCCAGCACCAAAAAAAAAAAAAAAAAAAATGTTTAGAAAAGACAATAAATTTGGCATTTATTGCATCATTCTTTTGGAAATTTTCAAGGTTTTTGTAGCATTATTATTAAAGTCTTTAAGAAGCCCACTGAAACAAGTTTTTCCTGGAGTGTTGTACTTCTTTTTGTTTTATTTTATTGAATGTATTATCTACTTGTATTCTATAATCTTAGGTTTTCAGAATGCTGGCACATATATATTAGATCACCTCTTGATCTTAATTTATACTCAGACATTTTTTTCTTATTTGCTTCTCAATTCACTATTTCGTCCAGTTCTACTGAAAAACTCATTTAAAAATGTTCTACATGCTCGTATGACTGCATTGTTTAAAATTTAAACATGTAAAACCAAACTGTCTGAATTTATCCCTACTATAATTTTATGACATTCATGTTTATTTTTTTCCCCCTTTTGACCAGGAAAAGTGGGTTGAAGTCGCCTCGATGAAAGTGCCTCGAGCAGGCATGTGTGTTGTGGCAATCAATAGTCTTCTGTATGTTGCTGGAGGTCGATCTGCCAGCCATGATTTCTTGGCCCCAGGGACTTTGGACTCAGTTGAAGTTTATAACCCTCATTCAGATACATGGACAGAAATTGGTAATATGATCACAAGTCGTTGTGAAGGAGGTGTTGCTGTATTATGAAATACAAAGCATTAAGATCACAAAGAACATTTTGTAAATGTAAGAGCTGTCCTTTTGCAAATCAAACATATAATGTTTGGTAACAGGTCACTCTTGATTCTATTGAGCTTTCCATGTATTAGGTAGATAAGTAACTAAAGAGTAAGTTTTTTAAAAATTGAGGAAGAAAATACATGTTTAAAAAATAGGAAAGAGCTCACACAAATTTGCCAAACTTCTCACAGAAATGCTGTTTATGCTCTATAGTTTTCCAGTTAGACTTAGTTGTAAACAGTGTTTGCTAGAAGCTTCTGAGAGTATAGTCCCTTTAGCTGTTTTCCCAGTGTACTTCAAATTGTAACATAACCCTTATATGATGTAGAAATAATATCTGTGAAAGTTTAAAGACTCCTGAACATTCATGATTTAATCCATAGCACCATTTTTCATGGCCACAGTTCACCCTGCAAAGAAAAGGGGGTGAAATAACTTCCTACTTTAATTTGATAGCAGTTTTCACTGGCCTCATTTTAATGGCAACAGACATATTAGGAGTATGTGGGAAATATCTGTATATTTAAAATTTTTGCTTGTTGATAGCATAGTATCATAGCATAGGATGGTTCTGAGAACATAAGTAAGGAATTAAGTTTCTTAATGATAGTCCTTGGTTGAAATAGGATGTTACAATGGGTCAAAAGCCCAGCAGACAGCATTATACACCTAGAAATTTCTTCCTTGGTTTATATGTAGTCACCAATATTATCTCTTTGGTGTTATACTAGTACTTGAGGAGCTGAGGCAGGAGGATTACTAGCTCAAGCCTGGGGTATGTAATAAGAGCCTGCCTCACAAAAAAAGTTTGGCTTTAGGAAGAAGGAACTTTTATTAGATTATCAAGCTTTGTGAACTTTACTTGTACTTGGACAGACAGGTCTAGGTATGAGCTTACTGCAGAGCTGTTGCTCAGCTTGGAGAAGGCTGAATTATTGGGACAATTTAGTTTTCATTACTCCTAGTACAACTTAAAATGACCTGATAAAGATAAATGTTTTATGTTGCAATCGCAGAAGAATAACAAGTGTTTGGGTTCAACAGGCCCAGAAAAGCCTTTAAAAGTTAATTGTAAATATGCTTATTACTTCCTAGGAAAAAGATTATTTTTAAAACAATGTATGAATAAAGTATCTAACTTTTTTCTTTTCTTTGAATTACTTATTACCTTAGTTTATTAGTAAAACTCCTGTGGTAAGTTGGATTATACAAGCTTTTCAATTTAACTTCTTGGGTATACACATTAGCTTTGCATTTAATTTTTTTTAAATTTTATTTAAGGAGAAAAAAAAGCAGAGAAAGGGTACAAGTTATACAGGTTTACAGAAAAAACTAAACAGTAGGAAATCACTAGTTAATGGATTACATATTGTCATCTTAGAAATAATTGTTCAAGTTACAAAATTAAAGCTTATAAAGTGGACATTCCAACAGTGAGACTGCAAACAGTTCTGTTCAATGACCCAACAAAACTCAGTAATATCATTATCTATCTTATACACTTAAATATACATGCAGTTATATCATTTAGAGCACTTTCTTTTCCTCTCTTTTGTACAACGACAATTACACATTTTGGGTTTTGTTGCTCCCACGGTTCTTATTACTTTTTTGGAAGAGAGTAGAACCAAATGTGACATAACAGAACAGAGTCAGTCAAATCAAAAGGGTGGACATAATAGATAATGTAAAAGCATAATACAAGGTGATCAACAATGGTTACCATGATGTCTCCCGCTATCTCTAATAGACATCAGTTATAATAGAATTGAACAAAACAATAAAGAACAAAACCAACAAAACCAAAACATTGGAGACATTATAGGTCTTCAAAAGTAGATAATAGCAACCAGAATGGGCGTCATAATGAATTCCACTATCTTCACAGCTGTTGCCTAAACTTTTGAACCTGGTACTATCAAGCAAAACAGAATAGAGGAACATCAGTCAAACACAAGATGGTGAGAGCAATACAGGGCTTTAAATCAAAATAATGGAAAGTCAAAGTGGATAACTATAATATATCCTGCTATTTTTTTATTTTTCCCTTAATTAAAAGGATAAAAATAAAAAAAGTAAATAATAAAATGGAGATTGAGATAAAAGAGGGCATAACAGCAAAACAACGCAGATCAAAACATAACCATTTAAGCAAAATAGTGTTTCACCACAAGATAATCCCAACATAAAAGTAGTTACCATATTGTCTCTTTCCTTGAAATCTTTGAGTATAACTTCATATACTGTAGCATCAAATATATCAAAACAATGTAAAACCATTTAAGAGAATGACAGTATTACAGGGTATTTTAGAATCAACTAACAGAAAATGAACAATGGTTTCTGTCTAATCTCCTTATCTATAAAAGTTTTTGTTTATACTATCACATATAATAAAATCCAATAAGATACAACCTGTTTAGACCAATGGAGACAGAAGAACGAAAGCTTGATGAGACTTCAAAACAAGATGGTACTAAATCAGTATTACCTCTTAAGACGTCATTTTCTCCAAAATAGCTGTTCCTATCATCCAATCTTCTCTGCCTCATTTCTGTTGAGCTCTTTTTCTGTCATTGTCAGTTTGTCTTCTTCATTTTGTTTTCTGCTCCATTCATTGTGGCCTCTCTGCCACTATTTCTGGATTCTTCATATTTTTCTTTTAGAATATTCTGCAGTATTCTCTGTAGAGTTGAATTGGTGGTTGCATATTCCCCTAGTTCCTCTTTATCCTGGAAGCACTTTGTTTTTCCATCAATTTCCAGGGACAGTTGTGCAGGATATCTCAAACTTGGCTGGAGATTATTATCTTTCAAAGCTTGAATTATTTCCCCCCACACTCGTTATTTGATGGTTTGTGCCGAGAAGTCTGCTGTTATTCTAATGGGTGTTCCCTTGTAAGTGATCTGTTTCTTGTCTCTGACGGCTTTTAATATTTTGTTCTTGTATTGGATTTCTGGAATTTTAATTATTATATATCTGGGTGTTGCTCTGTTTGGGTTGTAGGTGGCTGGGGTCCTGTATGCTTTATACAACTGAGTATCTTTACCTTTTGCTAAATTAGGAAAATTCTCCTGGATTATTTCTGTGAGTAGCTTTTGTAGTTCATTTGTTTGTGTCCCTACTTCTTCTTTTATGTTCTTAATTCTTAAGTTATAGACCCTCTTATCATCTTCTAGTCTTTGTATTATTGCTGTTTGTTTATTATTCTTAAGAAGTTTTCATTTCATGCTCCCATATTACAAATCTGCCCTCCAGTTCAAATAATCTGTCCTTAGTTTCTTTCAAGCTGTTATGCCAGTTTTTGATAGAGTTTTTAGTTTCCTGGTAATCTTTTTGAACCTGCTTCATGTATTCTATGCATTCTCTATTTTCTCCCTTAAACAATTCTCCCCTCTTTTTCTGTTCTTCCATTCCACCATCTGTTTTTTCTTGGGTGGTACTTAGCATTTCTCTAACTATTCTGGTTATGTCTAGCTTCAGGTCATTAATAACTTCATTCCTGAACTTGTCTATGAGGCTCTGGAGATAGTGCTTTATATCTATTGGTGCTGTGTCTGCTATTGCCTGTTTCTCAGGATTGGGGGCCAAGGAGCCTTTCTTGTTGCTGCCTCTTCCCATATTCTTTGTTCCTTATATATGCAAGCATATATAGGAGGCCCAGCTTCCTTCCCTGTCAGCCACAGTCTGATTGAATTGCACAGGCTAGGTGTTCCCGCCCACCATAGCGCACCAGGAAGTTGCAGACCAGGCAGCCTATGTGGGCCGCCCCTCCAGGTCAATCTACCTTCAGGCGCTGGGACCTGGGTTGTGCTAGCCTACTGGGTCTCAGCCAGCAGTGTCACATAGGCTAGGCACTGCTCACCAATCCTGCTTGACAGGGGGATACGTGACTGAAGTCACTGCAGCGCCCTGTTCCCGCAAGTCTGCCCGGTCCCAGAATGTCCTCTATTGGAGTCTCCTAGACGGTGGAAGAGTTCCAGTTTCTCTCACTCACTGCAGGTCAATGCACAGCTCCCGCCCCATCCTGCTTTCAACTCCGTTCACTGATTCCCCTTCTCAGCTTTCATCTCTCTCCCTGCCAAGCAGATGTAGATGCAGCAGCGGCGGCGGGAAGCCCAAATCGCGGCTTCCAATGGCACGGGCTCCAACTTCCACTCTGAGGCTTTTCTGTTCCTGTTATAGCACCAGGGTTGCATTCCCAATTGGTTTCTCTCAGCCCAGTTCGTTCTTGGGTCAGTGGGGCATATCTCCTCTTGCTTATGATTCCTTACTCCGCACCATTCCTGAATTCCAAGCTGGGTCTTTCAGAGATCCTCTGTAGCTGCTGCTATCTGTCCGCCATGTTCTCCCAGAAGTCAGCTTTGCATTTAATTGCACTGAGAGATGACTAAAATCGTCTTCCTCCAGAATGTTTGACAACTCATTATGCTTCTAAATACCTGTCCAGCCAGTTGTAATGGCACATGCCTAAAATCCCAGCACTTGGGAGAGGCTGAGGCAGGATTGATGCAAGTTTGAGGCCATCCTGGAATATATAGCAAGATCTTCTCCTAAACGAATACCCTGTAGTCTGCACCTACTAGTACATGCCTAGTCTTAGCTAATTTAGAAGGCTGAAGAAAGAGACTCACTTGAGGCCAGTAGTTCAAGGCTAGTTTAAGAAATATAACCAGATTCTCAAGAGGGTTAAAAGAAAAAATAAATTTAGTTTAAAAAAATATAGCTGGTGTGGTGGTATATACTTCTAATTCTGATACCCTGGGAGCCTGAGGATCTAGTACAATATGAAGACTGGGTTCAACCCCAGTACCAAAACACCCCAAAACAAATAAAAACCCTAAAATAGTTGATGAAATTTACTTAAACATTACCTTTACTACAGAATACACAATAATTCACTTGCTTTTATTTTGGGAAATAATACATTTAATTGAAATTAGGAGCCGGGCATGGTGGCTCACGCCTGTAATCCCAGCACTTGGGAGGCTGAGGCAGGAGGATCATTGTGAGTTTGAGACTAGCCTGGGCTACAAAGTGAGCTCAAGGCCAGCCTGAACTGCATAGGGAGACCCCTGTCTCAAAAAAACAAACAAACAAAAAAGAAATTAGGGAAAAGTTTGGAGTTTGTACAGTAGTCATCAGTTCAGCAGTGTTTCCTAATCAAAACACTTAATCTGAATAAAAATCTGAGGATAAGCTGAAGAGCTTTCCTTCCACATCAGTATGCCCTGGACTGTTGTGTATATTAATAAAAATCTATGCTTCTTAGTGTGCTTCTCAGTAATTTACATGGAGTCTAGCTCTCTGACACTGTGTTGGTTTCCCACAAAAATTTAAACAGAAATTTGACTCATAGCTCTGGAGGGTAGAAGTATGAAATCAAAGTGTTGACAGTTAGGATAAGATCTGTTCCATGTCTCTCTTCTTGGCTTGTAAGTAGCCATCTTCATATTCACAAAGCATTGTCATCTTAGTGTCATCTACCAGTCTTCTCTTCCATAAGAACATGAGTCATACAGCATTAAAAGCATATGCCAACATTCTAGGGTTTAGAACTTCAACAATTCAACTAATGTGTAAGAAGGTTAAAAAGTTACTGTTCTCTTCAGAGGAGGAATCATTACAGATCATGTATATAATTTAAGAAATTTATTGACTGGTATTTGAATACTTATTATATAGTAATACAGCAATTCTCTGATATATACTTAACACCATTTACAAATGTTTTTCCTTTTTCTAAACCTAGAAATTTCAGAGACTGGGCTTTCAGGGTAAAATTCAAGGTATTGATTTCACAGTTTTTGTGTAAAAACTTTTGAGTTAAAAAATGCAGAAATAGATAGGCCTGCTTGTTGGTATGTCCATATGGCTCCAGCTTGGATTTTCCTTTCTAATTTATGTGTAGTGGCTTTATTCTTTTTTTTTTTTTTAATTGGTACCGGGGAACAAACTCATGACCACCTGCTTGCAAGGCAGGTGCTTATGCCGCTGAGCTAAATCCCCAGCCCTGGCTTTATTCTTTAGAATACTGACCAACTGATTTTATTGTCTGGTGGTAAAATCAAGTTGTATGTTTAGCAGGTCAAATGCCAGTAAGAAATGAAACTTATATCCAGGGTTTCTGTTTAACATGGCTTTCCCACTGAATGCTGTTCCTACTGTGTTCAGAGCAATATATTCTTTCGGCTCATAAAACTTACATTAGGTAAAATAAGATTGGACATTTAACTCAAAAAGGCAGGCTGGAATCACCTTTCATTTCAGGCACTCGTTTATAGGTTTTCCATGTGAGCTGGGAGAATATATTTTTTTTTACTGATTATAAGGCTCTATTAAAAGGATCTTTCTTGCTTTTTTTTTTTTTTTAAGAAAGGTTCTTGTTCTGCAGTTCAGGCTGGTCTTAAATTCACTATGGTAGCCCAGGCTGCCTCAAACTTGCAGCAATTCTCCTGCCACAGCCTCCTGAATGCTAGAATAACAGGAGTGCTGGGATTATACACATGTGCCACTACAGTCAGCATAACAAAGGAGATTTTTTGGTCTTTTATATTTTTCAAGATAGTTAAAACATTGAAGCTGGGTAGTGTAGCACACCTATAATCCCAGAACTCAGGAGGTTGAAGCAAGAAGATCATTGCAAGTTTGAGACCAGCCTACAAAGTGAACTCAATCAAGGTCAGACTATATAGTAAGACCCTGTCTTAAAAACACAAAAAAAACCCAAACAACAACAAAAAACACAACAAAACATTGAAATGTTTAAACAAATGACTATAATTCATAAAGACAACATAAATTAACCCAATATGACAAGGACTTTTGTGAAATTTTCAATTTTATGTTTTAAGTAATGACTAGAAATGATTTTTTTGTTTTGTTTTTTGAGACAAGGTCTGTGTAGTTCAGGTTAACCTTAAACTTATGCGGCCATGCTGGCCTCAAACTCATAGCAGTCTTCCTGCATCAGCCTTCCCAGTGATGAAATTACAGGTGTGCACTACTGTGCCCAGCTACAAATGATTCAAAACAATCTATGATGAATAAATTACCAGGTGGTGGGATGAATAAATTACCAGGTGGGATATTAAAATACAATTTTAGAAACCTTGAAGGCAAGGGAACTGGGGGGGTCCATCCCAAAATAGCAGAGTGCTTTCCCACCATGTTCAAGCCCTGGGTTTGTTTCCCTAGCACCCCCACTTCCCCTTCTCACATACACATAAACTTGTATCCAACATATTAATGCTATTGACAAAGTAATATTATATTTATTCTACCTCACCAGGTCTCTTAGGTCCTTTCTCTGGATAAATATCTTGAAGTATTAAAGTGATTACAAATGAGAAAAAAGCCACTAAAGTGATCACTATCCTCAGGGCTTTGAACCAGCTGGGATAATGTGGCAAGAGAAATACTTCAGTGTGTAATGCTATCCCAAAACCTATTATCACTGTGACTATGGCCTCACTGAGTCTTTCAGAAATGAGGAAGGCAAACCATGAAAACATAATTGGAGCTACACTGTTAGCTAAATTAAGGTAGTCTGGTTTGGCTGGACTACCTTCTGTCAGAGTAAAACCCCATCTGACTCCTCCCAAAAAAGACAGGAAACTGGCTCCATAAGCCATCTGAGTAAAAGCTAGTACAGGGATATAAGACTTTGTCATGATCATGATTAGTGGTGGAGCAATGAAAGGGATTAGTCCTGTCAGAGTAATATACAATGCTGGCCTTGGGCTTTCAGGCAGGTAAGTGATGCTCATTGGTGGCCTTGCTGGAAGTATTTCTTGCTTCTGCTTCTTCTTAAAGCTGCATGGGGATGTATGATAGGATCGTGCTGTACTCATACACACTGGAAATGATGGAAAACACCAAGGCCTTAGACACAAAGTAGAAAAGTTCCACTGGAGAGATGTCTTGAGAGAAAGTATATCTGTTCTCCTGCTGGCTCCTAGTCTCATTGTGAAAGTACACTGCAGCATCTATAAAGAAAACACAACCAAAAGACAGAAACAAAACAAAAAGAACAGTTTTCTGTTAGCACATCAAATTTTATAGACAAGTTGTACTGACGAGAGTAATGTTATTCATGGTATTAAACAGCTGTAGAGTATACCCCCAAAATATATATAATTGCTATGTTAATTAAAAATTTAAAATACATGAAAAATATTGCTAAAACAAAAATTGCTACACAACATGCAAAAAGAAAGTAGTGAATAGAAATCAGTGGTATATTTTGACCTATCAGTAACTTTATCCTAATAAGAGAGATGGGAAAGAGGGGCAAGACTACATCTTTAGCATTTGGTTCTAAACTGTCCCTTCTAGTTTGTGAACTGCAAAAGCAGCAGCCCTGATTACTGTGGGAATGCTATTTTATATAGAGAGAAGACAATCTACCTTCCAATTTAACTTTATAAACTGTAAACATTTCATAACTCCATGCCTCTGTACATGTCTTTGCCTAGAATTCTAGCTCCTTCTGTTTTTCTATGTAAGAAATTTACCTTGCCCAGCATAGTGGTACATTCCTGTCACCCCAGCCTTCAGGAGGTTGAGACAGGAGGATCACTTAAAAGTTCAATGCCAGCATGGGCTACAAAGTGAGTTCAAGCCAAACTTGAACTGCATTGCAAAACCCCCTCTCAAAAAGACCAAAATTTACCTTTAAAATTCAGCTGAAAGCTTTTCTGAACCCCTTTCCAGTCCAATTAAAAAGTTCCTTAGTAAGTATTCAAGTGTCCGTCACGTTCTTTTTTTGTTTTTTGAGAGTATCTCACTATGTAGTTCAGGCCAAACTTGAACTCATGGCAATCCTCCTGTCTCAGCTTTCTGAGTACAAGAACTACAGGTGTTCATCACCCCTGACATCAGTTTTTCTTATAAAGATATTAAATTGTGTGTTTGTCTTTGTCTCAGTAGACTCAAGAATTAGGGCCATAGTTTTTCTTTGCCTTTAAGAAAAATTCCATTTCCTTTTATGATACATGGCCAAATATTTTTCCTTCTCATTCTATGCTTTAGTGAGCAGATGTTGGACTGCAAAACAGTATTATATAATCAAAACAGTAACTATATGTGTTACGTGAAAATTAAAAATGCAATTCTTCAAGCATGTGTAGAATGATCCCATTTTGGATCCTTTTCCCCTTTTATGTCCATTTGAAATGCTCCTTCAGCTACTTGTCTGGCCTATTCTTTTTATTTCTGACCTCTCTGTCTAATAAAGTACAATCCCACATCTACTTTTGATACTGTATTCCCCTTCCCAGCTTTATAGTTCTCCATAGCACTGATTTACTAAATACCTAACTTACTTATATTCCAGCTCCCCAGATGTACTCTGGAATATGTGATAAAGATTTTTGTCTCTTTTACTACTATTGCCCCAGTCAGACCTGGCAAACAGTGCTTAGTACTTGCTGAATAAACTAACCTTTGAAGATGCTTGAGAAAACTTCTGAATGAAGTGAAACATACTGGGCACTCTTGAAAGTCTTCTTCAGGAAGATACCAACCAGTTCTAATTATCATATTTTTACAGTTTAGTAGAGGGGCTGAATCAGAAGCATGTTGCTGTGCATAAAACAAGACATCATTTTATACATTAATTTGGCGGGGAGCTACCAGGAATTGAACTCAGAACCTTGAGCTTACCAAGCAGGTGCTATGCCACTGAACTATATCCCCAGCTCATACATTAATTTTTAAAAATATAATATTTCTTTTTGAAATAATCATTAATTTTTCGAAGAATTAGTAACACATTAAGGAAATAGATCTTTTTCTTTCGTGAGCTATTCTTTTAGTTTTGGCTGTCAGATGCAACAAAGAATAATGCATAACCAGGTGTAGTAATGACAACTACTCTGGAGGCTGAGGTAGGAGAAGCAAAAGTTGAAGGTTACGCTGGGCAACTTGGCAAGACCATCTTCAAATAAAATTTTAAAAAAGGTTGATGATGTGGTTTAGTGTTCCCTGGGTTCAATTCCAATACTACCTTAAATAAGTGAACTAAGGAACATCCAAGCTCCTCTGTTCCCTTTAATTATTCCCCTTAAGCACCAAAGAAGTTTGGTGATTAAGTTCACATCTCAAAATAATGATAGCAGCAACAAATACAATTTAATTGTGAGCCAGACACCATAACTACATGGAATTAACTATTAATGCTCACAATAACTTCATTAAGACCTTGGTGCAGTTCAGCACTTTCAAAATAAGGGGATCTGAGAGTATAACAGGAGGCCCTGGGTTCAATTTCTGGCATCCTGGAAGGTGTGGTGAGGAAAGTAAGAGTAATAGCAACTACTTCATAAAGTCATTGTAAAAATTTAGTAAGTACATTTGAAAGCTGAGAATTGTTACTGATAAAATAATCACTTAAACAGTATTAGCTGTTATTCCTGTTTTAAATATGAAGGGTTAAACACTCATTAGTAAGCAATCAGTTAAGACGTCAAATGAAAACATGAATCTAGGTACGATAGGTTCCCTGTACCCCACTTTTAACCAAGGCTTGAACTAAGAGAGGGCCTCAACCATCTTACATGAGTTCTTTACCACTGAGTTACAAATACAGTCCTTTTTAAAATTTTTGAGTCTTTATTAATTCCAGGCAGGGACAGGAACTTGTAATCAATTCTCCTATACTCTTGCCTCATTAGCATGCCATGCCAGTTACAGATCTTTTTTTTCTTTTTTTGAGGCAGTTTTGCTGCATGGTTCAGGCTGACCTTGAACTTGCTTATGTAGCTCTGGCTGGCTTTAATTTGTGATCCTCCTGCTTCAACCTCTGAGTGCTGGGATTATAGTCCTATGCCACCACACCCAGCTCCTAGTTCCATTCTTCGGAAAGAGAAATACGTCCCAAATCAGTATCTGCTGCTTGATTTCTTAAAAAAAAAATAATTTAAAGCCAAGTGTGATGCCACGTATTTGTAATCTTAGCACTCTGGGAGGCCTGAGGTAGGATTCCAAATTCAAGCGCGGTCTGGGTAACATATTAACGTAATGCAAACTTATCCAGTCCTCATCCCCTCCCAACCCCCCAAAAAACCTGGAGATGTATTTCAGCTCGAAAGTCATGGGTGCAACTCTCAGTACTAGAAAAAAAATATTGATCACAGATCTTACAGCAGGATAGAGAGATGTCTACTAGTCAATGTTTTAGTTTTATAAATTAGGAAGCAAATAGTGAGTTTAATTCTCCTAGGCTTCCACAGGACGATTCCCCCCCCACACACACAGTCGTTCACGTATCATTTTCTTCGTAAGGATTTTTATTACAACCTTTCAAATCTCAATCCTCCTCCCTCTTCGAAAACTTCCTAGTCAAAGTGCCATGCATTTTCCAAGTAATGCGTATTACAGCTAAAAGTGATAGTCTAACGCCTAGAGACGACAGTGATGTTAAGGATTAAGGACAATTGATTAATCCGCCCAATTCAGGAAAAAAACACACAAACGCCTTCATTTCAGCGATGAGAGGACAGCAGACTAAGTCTCTCGCCTACATTTTAGGAAAGGAGGAGGAGTTCAAACGCAAAGATCCTCTCTGCTATTCACTATCATCCCTTATTTGCCCGCTTCCCCAGCTCACCGGTGAAGGCCCCGATTCTTGCCTGGATTGCGCGGTTTTGTGGTCAGCTGAGCTGCAGGAAGGACCAGCGATTCGCGGAAAAGCACTTCCTGCGGGTCGCGTGGATCTCTACTTCCTGCGAGCTAAAAACCGAGTCCGAGTGGGTACTTGCCTTGCGCTAAATAGTTCCTATGTCCCGCCTTTCGTCTTGGGAACACGTTAAAATCTTTATTTTGGTTGAAGTCAGCTGTTGAAGAAGGTATCTGAATAATCTCTTTTCCAAGGTTCTCATCCAACTGAAACGGCCTGCAGAGTTCTGAAATAATCTCAGAGTGAAGGTGAGAGAAGGTAGGAGATTTGGAATTTGGGTCAAGTGTGACTTGACCAAATTGCCATCTCCCACTCTTTTTTTAACTTTTCAAAACAGCTGGGTCTTGGCTCAACAGGACGAATGTTACTCCGCATTAGAGACCTTTACTACTACTACTGGGGCGTGATGCCGTTTTTATTTCCGTTCTTTTTGCAAGGGCCTTAGAAACTTCCATTAAGGAATGAAGAGCCAACGGATAGGCGTTAAGAACCTTGGGGTGGGGGATAGGGAGAGGCTGTATCAGCAAAGACTTCTCATTTCTCTTATCCACGCTCGGTTTGCATTTATTTCTCGGCTGTGTGACCTTGAGTAACTCCCTTTCTTAGAGAGTCAGCATCAGTCCACCAAAGGAAATCACACCAGCCAATATGAGTGTCCTTGCATCTCAAAACATAAAGCTGAAGACAAATTGAAGAGCTTATTGTTCTAGGGGTCCGTGCCAGTTCCTTTGGTCCTGGATTTGCTGTAGCCTTGCTTCCTGACTGGGACCTCTCACGTGGTTTACCTTCCGGGGAGGATTCCGGCACAGCAAAATCTTCGAGGTAGTAACCTCTTGGATCATATACCCACCCACCCCCCACACACCCCGGCTTTCACTTTTATTTTCTTCTCTGGCAAAGGAGCGCCGCCTCTTCCCGTCGCGTGATACTGGATGAGACTTCGGGCAGGAAAGACGGCCTCTCTCGGGTAGTAAAAGCGCAGGCTCTCTGAAGCGGGACCTACGCTAGGGGTGCGTCGCCCTAGGTGTCCTCCCCACGCCCAGAAACTACCACTCCCGGCGGGTAGTGCGCGAGGCTGAGGCCGCACAGACTGGAGGGGGAGCCCTGTGGGCCGCTGGGGGCTGGAGTTTCGACGCTCACCACCAGTGAAGGAAGGCGCGGAAGGTGGGCAGGAGTCAGGAAACACACGCTTCTTCGAAACGTGGTGCTGGTAGAGGTAGTTAAGCGATGCGTGCTTGGCCAGAGGCGGGTGTGTGTGGCAGGGGATGAAGAATGGTCTGCCAAGCAGTACCTGCCTCTCATTCACATAGCCCCTGTCCGCGGATTCGGGGGTGGGGACGAAGGCGAGTACTGAACTCGCTCCGTTTCTGTCTGCACAAGGGAAGGCTAAGGATTTAACTGCACAGGGGTGAGGGTGGCCATGTACATTGCACGTAGGAGCGCTAGAGGCAGTGGGGGACGAGACAGGGAAAATGCCGTTTGCCAGCTGGAACGTTGACTGTCTGAGGTGCGGTGGTACCCCGCCGGTCACTAGGCAGGCCTTGTGCGCATGCGCGTCCGTTCTGGCGGGTGGGCGTGTTCCAGGCGGGGTTGAGGGCGGTCTGTTCTTCGCTCCTCCTCCTCCCACTGCCCCTCCTGGGCCTTGTGGGCCGGGCAGCCATTTTGGGAAGAGCTTTGTTATGGTCGTGGGTTAATCACCTCTACAGGGCCGAGAAGCTGGAAAAGCGTCCCTGGACGCCGCGTTTTGTCCTTGGTTGTAGCTTTGCCGTTGCCTGGTGAGTTGGAGTCTCGGACAGCAGAGTAGTGGGGGACAGAGTCGCCCGTCGCGGGGCCCCGCCCGGTGCCTAACCAGTTAAATATTAAAACTACTTGGAAAAAGGTCTGTCACAGGTGGTTGGGTTTCGGTCCGCCGGAGAGGAGCGAGCGGAGCCCTCAGGCGGTGTGGTTTGGATGTCCCCAACTCACGCGTGGACCTTCGCCTGCGAGCGTGGCCGCGGCTCCACGAGAGCGCTCCGACTTTAACTTCGGTCTTGGGGTAGGAACGCTCACCTGCGGCTCTCTGGCTCCTCTGCGGGTTAGGACTCGGTAGTGATTGAGTGGCTTGGTTTAGGAGTTGCCTTTTCTTTCTTTAAAATGTGAGCCAAAGGCTTTTGTTTTCCTATTAAGGAAACCTGAGGAGAAAAAAGTCGTGTAAGTCAAATAGGGTATCTGAAGGGGAAAGTGCCTCGAGCTTTTACGCCCCGACGTTCCCGGTTCTCCGCCATTGAGAAGTGTTTTCTTTTGGGTTAAGTATTCAGTGTTAAACCTCCTCCCCACGGGGAGGGTAGGAAACTGGTTAATCTTGGAATGTTTTACCAGCCCTTCCCCATTTTTACCACCCCCCCACCCTGCGCCGCCCCGTGAAATTCAAAAGAAAGGGCTGAATCTAAAATGGCTGTAGCTTGGGGAAGTACCCTGCTGTCCGATAACTTAAATATGTCGTAACATTTTTCTAGTTTTTCCCTGTGAGATATTAACTGAATCTTCGACTTCGTTGTTGTTTTGTTATTGATAGTTTATCTGGACAATTAACGAGGTGAAAACAGTTGGGGTTTACAAAGTTTGCTAACTCAAAGTTTTACATAAGAATGGGTGCGGTTTTGTGTTGTTTTTCGGTTGTTGCTTATAGTTCTGAAATTTCTGCTGTGGTGTGAGTTTTATCTGTCAACTTTATGCTCCGGGGTTGGTTTGTCATATTTGTTGAAACGCTTGCTTTTGATAAATATTGCTTATCAGGAAAACAAAGTTAGTGATAGGGCATCTTTTAGTTTAGTAACAGAAGTTAAGTTCCTTTTAAAATCCAATCCAAGAGTCTGATGGCCTTCAGTAGTAGACTTAAATGTGTAATTTATTGGATAGTACTTGAAATCTAGTGTTGTTAAGTTTGGGACACTTACAATAGTGTAAGACAATTTAAGTGAAAACGTGGTTTAGATGTGTAACGAGCATGTTGTGCCTTTTTAAACAAAAGGATGTTTTTTTTGTTTGCTTTTAAAAAGAAACAGTAGACCCAAATGATTAATTGAAGACAATGCATACCACTAGACCACAGATTGGAAACAAAAACCAGTAACTTTTAGTGTTTGGAAAGCTGCTTGAGTTTCAAATTGCTATCTCTTTGAAAGATAAAATAGTGAAATACAGTAAAATGTTAATCTAAGTTATAACGTCCAAGTTAATGGTAAAATTAGCCGTCAGCTTTCCTAGGGAATCAGTGTTAATCATTCCTTCTTAATAATTCTATTCGCGCAAAAATACTCCTAGGATCTTTTTTTCTCTGTGTCTTCACAAGAAAATCATGTTAAGTTCTTTATAGAAACAAGTTAGTTACCTTGTGTATTACACAAATTTATTGTATAACACAAGATTTTAAAATTATTTATTATTAGATTACTCAAAACAGCTTTTAGATGTTGGAATAAACATTCTTTCAATTGAATCTGGATAGTATCATTTCAGAGCTCTTGATGTTTGAGGAAAAATAAGAAATTTTTTTTTTTTTTTTTGAGACAAAGTCTTAGTATGTAATTCAGGCTGTCCCTTGAACTCACAGCAATCCTGCCTCAGGCTCCCAAGTGCTGGAGTTACAGGGGTGTACCACCACCCCCTGCTAGGAAACCTTTATTGTGAATGAATTTATGTAAACAGTTTTCTCATCCTTGCTTGTTTATATTTTAGCAGGAGGGCACATTTCGGCTGTTTAATTAAGCTTGAAATTAACAAGAAATCAGGGAGTACATTTCTGCATAGATGTGTGATCAGAATGTTTTGATTTTAAAAAATTATATCCAGGTGTGGTGTTGCACACCTGTAATCCCATCATTCCCGCTGAGGTGTAGGAGGTTTGTTCCCAAGTTTGAGACTACAAAGTGGACTCAAGGCAAACCTGAACTGCATATGGAGACCCTTTCTCAAAAAAACCCTCCCCCAAAAAAATTTACAGTAAAAGACATTGCTACTGATTACTGAAAATATGCCTCTTTTCTTCAAACACTTATTCTTGTCATTTTAACCTCCTGAACAGTTCTAGGAGTCCTCTTTCTGGTCTTTAGGAGGTATGGTCAAAAATGCAACGAATGATGCAAAATCCTGTTTAATGGAGAGGCAGGCTCCTAAAAAATGTTACAGTGCTACCTTATCCACTGTATCTACTGTATTTACTGTGTGACTTAATGGCTCTTTCTCAAAGTCACAATGACCATGAAGATAAACATTTTGAATCGTTCAGGGAAGAGAGGCAGCCACAACAGGGAGGCTAAACAGCACAACTCAGATGCTTCTAAAAGGAATTCCAGAACTGCTTCAGAAAATGGTAAGAATGATGGCATGAGTGTGTTCGAAGCAAGAGAGAGGATTTTGAGGATTCATAGTAATGTGTCTTTTACTGTAATAATTTTTAAAAATTCAAACATCATTATATTTCCTGATCACATCTTGTGTGTATATGGTTCAGTAAGAGGAACTACTCCATAGGAGGGATGCATTTAAGGGGGCCCATTAGTTTTGCTTCATTAAGGCAAGTAATGAGCTTTTAGTTGATCTGTTGGACAAACTTAATTTTATTTTTTTTATTTTATTTTTTTAATCAGTACCGGGGATTGAACTCACAACTGCCTGCTTGTATGTAAGGCAGGTGCTTATGCCGCTGAGCTAAATCCCCAGCCCCATTAATTTTCATTTTTTAATAAGACAGCTCAGTCATTCTTTTAAGAAACAAACATCAAGGCTGGGGATATAGCTCAGTGGCATAAGCCCCTGCCTGGCAATTGCAAGGTTGTGCGTTTGATCCCAGTACCACAAAAAAGAAAAACATCAGAGGCTGTACTGTAGTGCCAGTATCAGTGTATCTGGATGATCATAAAACATTCTCACATTTCTGTTTTGGTATGTTTAATCTTACCCTCTTTAAGATATGGGCAGTTCTTTTGAAGATAGCAAAAGGCATTATATATAGTAGCCACTGTTGATCACCTTGTATTTTGTTTTTACATCATATACTATATCTATTCTTGTTTTAACTGACTCCATTTTGCTTTGTCATATTTGGTTTTATTCTATAGGAGTAATAAAACCTAAAATGTGTAATCGTTTTATAAAAAAGAAAAAGTGCTCTAAAGGATTTAACCGCATGTATGTTTAAGTATATAAAACAGGTAACTATAATTACTAAGTTTTTGTTGGATTATTGTACAGAACCGTTTGTAGTCTCACTGTTT